GGTATAGAAACAATTACTAGTCATCCGACTCCTATATATGAAGACAACACTGCATGCATTGCTCAAGTGAAAGGAGGTTACATCAAAGGAGACCGAACAAAACATATATCACCAAAGTTCTTCTCAACACATGATCTCGAGAAAGATGGAAAGGTTGACATCAAGCAAATCAAGTCCAGTGAGAACCTTGCTGATTTATTTACAAAAGCGTTGCCCCCAAAGAAATTTGAAGAACTCGTACACAAGATTGGCATGCATCGCCTCCGTCAATTATGCTAAGCTGAGGGGGAGAATTTTATGAACTGTACTCTTTTTCCCTTGATCAGGTTTTTATCCCACTGGGGTTTTCCTGACAAGGTTTTTAACGAGGCAGTACATAAAATTAGAATGGGTTTCTAAACTATACCCATTTTCACGAATACCCATCATCAATTGAAAAATGAACATTCAAGGGGGAGTGTTAAGAAAAAATATGAATTGTTCATTTATCAATTAATTAGGTCATGCTCCATCATAAGTTGCAAGAACAAATTGTCCATTATCATTCATCACCATCAAGTTGCCATTTGTATAGTATGTATACTATTTGTAATAGTGTAGCACTAAGTCTCTCTACTATAAATAAGAGGCTTAGGATCCCTGTAAATTACCATTAAGAATAAGAAAAAGAGTGAGAAGTTAATAGAGAGAAGAAACCAGAAATATATTATATCTATTCTAATAATCTCTGAGTAGTTTTTCTCTCATTTTCTGGTAAGATTTTTTCGGAATGCCCAAAAAAAGTCCCTGTTTTTTGGATGTCCAAAAAAAGGTTATTCCTTTTAATTGTTAAAATAAAAAGATGACTTTAATTTTTTCAAATTTTGTTGGCCGTCTGTCCAGAAAAAGGTTATTCCTTTTTCTATTTTTTTCATGTCCTATCTTCTATTCTTCATTCCCTTTTTTGAACTTCCCAAAAACAAGTTTTCTTCTTATTTTGGAAAGCAAAAAAAATTCGAGATAAATGAAGTACTTCACACACACACACACATATTTAATTTCATTTATTTTTTATTAGAAACACAAACAATTATGAAGTCTTAAAACATTATAAAAACCAATTTAAAAAAATAAATTTAAAACCCTCTATGAATAAAGGAAACAAAGAGAAGGAAAAAAGGGAAACAAAAAAAGAAAAAAAAAACCAAAAAACGAACAGAAAATGGGAAATGAGCTTCGATGCCTCACGTGGTTTAGAAAATAGAAATCGATGCTCCTTCTTCACAAAAAAAAATGAATAAAAAATAATCAAGTATGCAATGTTTTGAAACTACATGGGTTATATATATAAGTTTTGAAAGAGAGCTGTATTGGTGTCATTTCTCAAACCACAAAGAACACCAGAACTATTCAACCAAAGAACATACTCCCTCTGTCCAATATATTCATCTAACTTGACTTTTTTTGAGGTCAACAGGACGAACTTTAAACATCAATTACTCTCGATTTGTATTACATATCAACACAATGAAATGAAATTGCGAATGTTCTTAACAAGTTAAATCTAATTAAATCAATTTTATAGCAATACACATTACGGTTTTTGTTTAATTAAAGTTCAACGTTCGTCGAGTTTGATTTGAAAAAAAAGTCAAACTGAACAAATACTATGATTATTATTTGAGACCTGTATCTATGAATCCGAATTAGATTTCGTACAGGGTCATAGGGGCACAGTCCAGCACAGCAGAGAGCTAGAGAGAATTCAAATGCAAATTGAATAGCTACTGAATGTAAGTGTCATCATCATCACTTTCTTAATAGACTACAAAGGTAAATAACAAGAAACTTGCCTTCAAAAAAAAATAACAAGAAACTTTCTTAATGGACCAAAAAGCTACTACCTCCGTCCTATTTTAAATTGCATGTTTGTCTTTTTTCTGTCCCAAAATAAGTTGCCTGTTAGTTGCTTTCGTAAACTTTTAAAAATAAAATACCGAAACTACCTTTAAAATAAGTCAATTTTCTCCACATTATATTCTCATTCATCATCATCCCTTCTAAAAAGTTTTGACAATTTCGAAAAATCAACTCTATTTTTAATTTTTTTTAAATATGCCCAAAAGTCAAAACGGACAATTTAAAACGGGACGGAGGGAGTATATAACAAGAACCTTTTGTTACAGACATTCACAGATATTTACATACAAACACCAGCATTGTTACTTGTCTATGAATATTTTTGAAAAGAATTATGGTTAGGGTACCCCAAGCTTAGTGTGAAATTGGGATTAAGGTTAGGGTACCCCAAGGTTAGTGTGAAAGCAAGAAAAAGAGAGGTCTAATGGCTGGATAAAGACTTGAAGACCAGGTGTCCATATCTAACATATATCTAATTGATGTTTCCCTTCATTTGTACATAAGCTCTTCTTGGAGCAAACAAGAAGGGCCAACTTTGTCTCCTTGTCTTCATATTAAGACATAAAACAAAAGCTCAAGTCTGTTTTCTTCCCTTCTTCCAACTAAGACAAAAGAACAGATTAGTGGTTTGAAGTCCAAAAAATGCTTTAAAAAAAAAACTCTAACATCCCCTCAAATGCACGGGAGTTTATTGGAAAGTGAATGTCATATGGATTTGAAGTCGTTGTCAACGGATTCTAATATCATGTTATGAAACTAACACACTCAGAAGTTCAATACACTAAGGAAGGTAAAGACAGTAAGGCTCATCCACTAGTAGAATGCAAACGACCCAAACAAACAAGAAGAGTATGACTTGCTGCTAAGAAAAGATCACCGAGATTTGAGAAAATAAAGCAAATTAATTGAAGGCAAATTGTGATTGTTCTGTTTTGTACAAATCTATATCATACAAACATACAATACCCATTCACCCAAATGATGATGAGGGATTCGCAACATTGAGTTCAACCAGACATCATTTCATTTCAGTGGGAAAACGACGGTATAAACCAGAAGAAACACTAGTATGAGANGACTGGTCCATAGATTAAGGTTCAACTTCTCTGATCTCTTGATGGGATCAACTTCTTCAGATGGCGGGTAGTTAGAACGGGTAGGATTCCAGGTCACATACCTGTCTGGTGAAAACTGTGAGAAGAACGTCTTCTTCCCATTCTTCTTGAAGCTAGACCAGGCCTTGTCCCAATCTATTGACAACTTATCATCATCATCATCTGCACATGCAAGAGATAGTTTGAGCTAAATACCACTTCTAATTATAGTCCTACTTGAACTAATTATGTTTAAGTAGACATAAAGTAATGGCTTGCTCTTGTTTTTCCATTATTAGGAGTAATTTTAAGTAACTAGGTCCAAACAGTCTCTGTACTTCCAAGTAGTGGTATTGTGATTATGGTCTGCAGATGCACACCGTCACACCCTATTGTCCATTTAATTTTCTTTTTTCGTGTGTCTCGAATTAAAGTTTACACTTCTTTCATTTCTATTTCTTCTAATAAAAGTATAACCGCACACTTTTCAATATTCAAAACTTTCATTATACCCCATGAAGTCAAAGTGTAAACTTTATTAGTTTATTGTGAGGCGATATAAGTACGTGATTCTAGTTTCGAAAATGAGATTTTGGAAATCATCCTACCCCTTGATTAGCAACTTATTCTAGTGATTTTCATATTTACATAACTCGAACACCAGAATCAACTCGTTTAGAAAATGCAAAACCAAATCTACCCTTAACCTCTAGATGTCAAAAACCACACATTTACACAGCCATCAATACTTCTTTCATAGCCATTCCAGCTTCATAAATAGATGCTTCTGAGCAAAACTTCTAACATAAGGCATTAGATCATATATGCAACCCAGTCAGCAGCAGCTAAGTGATCCTTTACATTGCGTTTGGTTACTTACTTTCAAGGGAGTAAATTGGAATTCCTAACTAGGACAGTAGGTAAGAAACCCAGATTTTACTACTAGCAAGGGAAAGTGGTATGTTTTCCATAAAAACCAAGGTCATTACCAGGGGTAATCAAGTTTCGGACTCCACAGAAAGTTAGATAATTTATATGGGGCAGTGCGAGTGCTTTAAAGAAAGAACGACACGTATATGGAGTTGCTGAAGGTAATTGGAAAAGAAAATGGAAATAACTATAGAGGATACTTGGAGTTTAATTTTTTTTATAATTGCTGAAGCTCCCATTATTTCTTCATTCATGTAATACAACTAATCAAATTATATAATTCTTGATCATTTTCAAGGTAAAGCTAAAGCAAACAACAACAAAAACAACACTATATAATAATCCCAAGTCCATTGAGGTGTTGGGTAAAGATGTACATAGTCTTACCCTGTAAAAGCATAGAGACTATTTCTACTAGACCCTAGATGCATTACTACATTTACTGCCCAAAACTTTACAGAGAGTGAAAAAGCAATGGAAATTTAATGTCCCATTTCGATTTAGTCCATTATGTGTCCGAAACTAAAACATTGTCAAAGAAAATAACTTTTCTTAGCAATTTTCCTCTTTCCCTAACATATTTTAGGAAATTGCAATAAAAAGTCCAAAAGTCCAACCAAATCAATCTTAATGAGAAATTGCAATAAAAAGTCCAAAAGGCATAAGCATATTGTTTTAAAGACTTATGCTTAGCAACTAAACCAATAACACATTTTGTTAGGTTGTGTGTAATTCATATCATTTAAAGCTTTGCTGCCTTATAGTTCTGTAATATTACTATAAATTATCTCTTTATTAAAGATATTTTGAGTAGAAATTCACATTATGCACAGATTTGACTGTATTTGGTTAAACTACATCTCAAAACTTCAACAAAACATATATAGATGATCTTAAACCTTAAAACCACATAAAACCTCAAATCAGGGAAATTAGAAGATCAGAAAAAAATTCACAAAAAAAAAGATTCAAAACACGCATACAGAATCAAAACTACAGGATTATGTATTGAGTGCTTGAATTTTAAACTGGGAAAGACGAAGGGAAGGATTATATACCCAAAGATGATCTTTTGGGCTTGAATGAACTCTTTGCCACCCTGCAAAAGAATAGTCAAACTGTCCTACAAAAGTTCCCAAACTCATTCAAAATCAAATTCAAACGTAATACTAAATTATGGACAATTTTGAAAACAAATTTCAGCAATACCCTAGTAAAGTTTTTCATCTCAAAAAATAAGAAAAAAAATATACCTGGGAACTAATTTTGGACCTGCAACTCCTCCTTTGAGATAGCATTTGTAATGAATTTCACTTCAAATATCATCTGTGTGATGGACTGAATCTGAAACGCATGCTACGCGGAATCACCAACAATGTCCTAAACCTTAGGAGCCGATCGCTGCCATCGCTGGGGCTTGCCGCCGTCTTGTTCTTCATCCACTGTGGTCTGGACGATGCCGGGCTCGACGATGCAGGCTTACTTCCACGCTTGTCTGATCAAAGATGATGAAGCGGCTGAGATTGACAGAAGAAAGAGAAGCTGGACTCAACAGAAAGGGTATGCTATCGATCAGAGGTAGTGCTCTCCATACGCTCCAAACAGATTAGTACACAGGAAGCTTCATCACAGGATATGTGGTCCTTATCTATGTTGCTACTGTAGCTTTAGAAATGGGCGGGAAAACTGTTCCCATACTTCTTTTGCCTTTATATATAGAAAGATAAATCAAATTGATTAAAGACAAATTGTGATTATTCTGATTTGAACAAATCTATATCATACAATTATACAATACCCATTCACTCATATGACGATGATGATGATGGATTTACAGCATTGAGTTCAACCAGACATTTTTCCATTTCAGTGGGAAAAGGATGGTATAAACCGGAAGAAACACAAGTATGTGATCGAATTGTCACTGCAAGAGTAAATTGTGGGCTTGCTTGTCATCATCATCGTCATCATCTACACATGCAGAGGATAGCTTGAGCTAAATACCACTTTTGATTTTAATCCTACTTGAGTTCAGCAGAGCACTCTGGGACATTTCTTGTTTGGCCAGTAGAGCATAATTTGAGTGCATCTAGGCTTCATTCTTCATCATTGTTTTCTCCTTGTCACCTCTTCTTTATTTCAAAACTGGATCACCAGTAATCATTACAAGAGCACTTCCCATCAGCAAAATGATGAAACCTGATTGAATCTCTGAGCACAATTTTCCGTTCCACAATCTGGGATATGTACTTGAAAGCAGAATGACAGTCCCCACAAACACGGAGATTTTTCATTATTCTAATAGGGAGTTCTGATTTTGGGCGCGTGAGAACAAAAGCAATCGCGATCCTCTCGCTATGATAGCTCAGCAGTTCTTCCTTGTTCTCAAGATCAAGATCATACAATGCAAACTTTATCTGCGGCACGTACCCTGCAGCCTTCATCTTTCTGTGCAAGTCCCTGAGGTTTACATATATTGCATCTGTATCTGGATGTGATCTGTCACCCGCGACAAAAACATGAACACCATCTTTCATGCTCACCCAACTGCACCCTTTTTCTTTCCTGGCTTCTGCTTCCTGCATGGCATGCCGGGCCTCTGCAACGTCTTCCCACTTTCCACCAGAAGCATGCATGTTGGCAAGAAGTACATAGTTCACTGCATTTTGTGGTTCCAATTCCATAAGCATTTGTGCAGCCTTCCTACCTGTTAACATGTGTGTAATAGCTCAAAATAGGGTAGAAGAAACCCTAGGTCTAGCACAGTACATTTCAACAAAAACAATAATCCCAACTCCGTTGGGGTCTAGGGGAATGGGATATATACCTGCTGCATTTACTGCATAAAACTTCTCTGAAAGCAAGAAGCAAGGATGGAAAGTTTCATGCTCCATTTTGATTTAGTCCATTGTATATGTGTCCAAAACTAAAACATTGTCCATAATGACTCTTTTAGCTCCATTGGCAATGGACTTTAGCACATTACACTAATGGTCAATTAGTCAGTCATTTCGCTATATAAGTAGTGTACTAGAGCATGTTTGATAGGTTCTATTTTTGTCTTATCAGTTTTATGGCCGAATTTTTTCCACCAAACACTAGGAGATACTCCATACTTTTTGTGATTGAAATTTCTGAAAAAATGAAGTTGATACGTTTTCTTCAATTCATTTATACATTTTAAAAACAATCAATTTTGAAGATTAATTAAGCAGAGCAAATCATTTCAGGCATTCTAACCACAACCTCAGCGATTTTGAGTTTCAACATATTCCAACATTTAGGCCTTATCAAATGGGCTCTTAGTCTTAAGAAAGTATGAAGTTGTAGGTCATACCAAGATCTTTTTTACGACTGCCAACTCGACTGCACGCCCCGAGAACCGTCCTCCAAATGAGGGCATTGGGCCTTATTGGCATTCTTTGGATGAAGCTCTCAATCTTACCTAGCTCACCTGCTCGCCCGAGGAGATCAACCATGCAAGAGAAATGCTCAATCTGTGGGGCCAAATGATAATCACTTTTCATTAATTCAAAATAATCAAATCCTTGATCAACTAATCCTATGTGGCTACAAGCTGACAAGACACCAACAAAAGTGACATGGTCTGGCGGTTGACCTTCCGCCTTCATTTTTTCAAAAACCTCTAGTGCTTCGTGTCCACATCCGTGCCTTGCATAACCGGATATCATAGAATTCCATGAATACACATTTCTTTGTGGCATTAGTTTAAAAAATTTTGAGGCATAATCTATTCGGCCACATTTGGCGTACATGTCAACTAGGGCACTCCCAACAACAACGTCTGATTCCAAACAAGCTCGGACCCCACAAGCGTGGACTTCCATGCCACGCTCCAGTGTTGCCACTGAGGCACACGCACTTAGAACGGTAGAGAGGGTGAAACAGTCTAACCTCTGACCGTTATGCAACATAAGCCAAATCAAATCCATGGCCTTCGATAGGAGCTCGTTGTGTATGTACCCACAAATCATAGAGTTCCAACTCATATCATCCCTCCTGTCAAGCATTCTGGAAAATATTTTTTCACAATCATCCATTTCACCACACTTCCCATAGCAAGTAAGAAATGCATTTTCAATGGATACATCATTGGCCACACTGTGTTTTAGAGCCAAAGCATGAATTTGACGAGCAAGGCCAATAAGTGAAAGGGACGATATTGCAGAAAGGACATTTATGAAAGTTATTTGGTTAGGATTCCCCCCAGCACGCATCATTTCTATGAAATATTTTATAGATTCAAAAACAGACGCTTCAGAATCATTGAATGTACCTATTATAGAATTCCAAGAAACAATATCATGATCAGGCATAAAAGAGAATACTTTCTTGCAATCATGGATAAAGCCAACATCAGAATACATTGCAAGGAGAGCATTAGATACTGACACATCCAAGTCAAGTCCCAATTTAATTGCTTCACAATGTATTTCGCTTCCCATCCTGACCCAACCAAGGCTTCCACATGAACTCAAGGCACTTATCAAATTGAAGTTGGAAGGCATCATACCGATACTCTTCATTGTTCTGAAACCACACACTGCATCCTCAAAACACTTACTTCGGTCCAGAGCAGAGATCAAAGAATTCCAGGACGTTAAGTCCTTGTCAACCATGAGGTTGAAAACAGAACGAGCCTCTTTAACTGAACCACATTTAGCGTACATATTAATCAGACCATTCCCAACAGAAACCTTGGAATCACACAAGCCAGTTCGGAGAGCATGTGCATGTACCTCTTTACCTTTTTGTTTTCCTTCGGCCAACAGAGAGAATTCAGGGAAAGCACTCAAAAGAACAACTAAAGAGAAATAATTAACTTCGACAAGGTCTCTCACCTCAACAAAAACTTTAGCTGCATCTTCTCCTCGCTTTAGGCGAATGAGTCCAACCATCAGGCCGTTCATGGACACTGCATTTCTCACACTCATCTGTTTGAAAAGCTTCAATGCATCATCAAGACAGCCTAGCCTTCCAAAACTACATACCAAAGCACTGCTTACAAACAGATCTTTGGAAAATCCCGATTTTTCAATCCTTCCCAGTACCTGCTCTAGCAAAAGCAAACCACAGTTACCATGAGGTGCAGCAACAATTAAGCTGCTAAGAGTGCCTTCATTCGGTTTCCAATTCAGTTCCATACCCTCAGTTTGCATGCGGGAGAAAAGCTTGAAAGCATGAGCAGAATCTCCTCTTTGAGCATAGAAGGAAATGATAGAATTCCAAGACACTAAATTTTTAGCTTCTATGCCACAAAATACAAGCCAAGCATAGTTACCAGGATCGCCACAGAGCCTGTACATAGAAATTAAGACATTGGAGACAACCACATCAAATGAATAGGGCGTCTTCAAAGCCAAGGCATGAATTTGCATACCCAACCTTAGACCACAAGCTCCTAAAGACTGGCAAGCCCTTAATGCACTACCAAAAGAATAATGGTTAGGAACATATCCCGATCGCACCATCCTTCGAAAACACTCACACGCCTCACCGGGCATGTCATTCTGAGCATACCCTGTGATCAAACTAGACCAGCTAACCGGATTCCAGTCGGGCATCTCATCGAACACGTCACGTGCATCACCCATATCGCCATTTTTCACATACAAATGAATAAGGTAATTGCACAAGAACATTTCTTGAGCATACCCGGTCTTAACCATTTCCAAATGGAGATGTTTTGCGTCATTTCCAGGACTCACGAAGCGGTATTTATCAACTAAAAATCCGTACTTTCCCGAAAGTAAAGGCCAAAAAGAAGCATGTGTTCCGGGTGAAGCCGCACTCGTTCCAACCCTATAGGGGGGGCTGCTTTGGTTTGCTGTAAGATCGAAGTTATAGCGATCTTGAAACTTAGACGCCAATGTACTGAAACTGGGAGAGGATGTTTGATTATAGAAATGCAATCTTCGGCGTATTAACATGTTGGCGGGGGAGCTGAAAGGCATTTTCACACCTAGTCTGAGTAGTCTCTCTCATTGGCACCATTTGAAAAAGAAGCAAAGGAACTTTCCTTCGGTGCCCATGGTTGGTTACTCCACAAGTTCAGCCAATTGCATCCCTTTAGCTTTTTCCATTGGACCAGTGCCACCACACCTGCATGCACCCATGCTTTGCACAAACAAACATAGACAATAATTGTCTATGCGACACAGACAATTAGTGTCTGTATTTGTTTTTGCGAAGCATGGGCCCATAGTAGCACTCATGTGCTGGCACCCTAGCATTTTCCTTTTCCATTAAATGAGGCTGTTAATGAAAAGGATAATTGTATACCTATCAAACAATCTTCACCAATTAGGATTAAAGATTAGGAGGGTATTTGAGAGTGTCTTGCTTTTAATAATTTAGTTTATGCTTTGAGTAGAAGTAATTTTTCTCTGTTTGTCATATCAACTTCTGCTTTTCACCATATTTTGTACATCCGTTTTAGAGAAGCAGTTATGAGGTGCTTCTGCTTTCAGTTTTTGTGAAAATCACTTTATCCATAAGTTAATCACTCCCAAACACCCTTTAAAATAGGGATCCGTTTAGAAATCAGGAAAATCACTTCCGGAAACTAACTTCTAGAAAAATGACTCATTTCCCTCAAATCATTTTCTTTTTCTAGTATTTGGCTAAAATGTATGAAAACTAACTATTTCTGTTTGGTTCATTTCCAGAAAATGAATACTTCCTCTGTTTTAAAATTAACTCCACATTTGATTTTTCACGGTCTCCAATGTGACACTTTGACCATTAATATCTCTATTTTTATATGAATATATATTACAAAAATAACATATTTCAAAACTATGTTTCAAAATGAATATCTTGATAATAAATTTATATGAAAATTCATTATATTTTTTCCATAATATACAGTCAAAGTTTAAAAACTTTAACTGCAAAAGTCATGAACTAAATATATTTTGTATTTGTCCAAAAAGTTGTTATGAATATGTAAATAGCTAAATATAACAAAACTCTCATGTGTATTTTTTTGGACTCAACATATTCAAAAAATAAAATATTTTTTGCAAACTGTGAAAATACTTAATATGAGACAACTGAAGTATCCTAAAACACATCCTAAAACAGATAATTTTATTTTATAAAACAAGTTTAAAACATCTTTATGAAAAAGAGAACAAAAAGAAAAACAGTAAAGAACGAAGGAAAGATGGCATTGGTGATCATTTCCGAAACAATAGGGGGCTGAGGCGTAATTTATCTAATATTTGACGGGTATTTTAGTCTATAGAGACATTGACGCATGAATATCACAACTATGAGAGATAATGATGCGAGTTTTGAAATCATTCCCGTAACTGTGCACATTTACAAAAGTACATAGGAGATTGGTGTAATAAATTCTTTCTAAAGTTACCAAATTCCATAGAAGATGGAAAATAACATTTAGAAGTCATTTTCTTCCTTTCCAAATGGACCCTATGAATAAAAACATAACGGAAAACAAAAGATGTTCATATTTTTATCTTTAAAGATTAAAAAAAGACTTATAATGCGTATTGTACGAACATGTAATTCCAAAATACATAGTAGAATGTAGTGTAATATAATCATGGTGTGTAATATTCTTGTTTTGTGCATAAAAATATAGTACCTAACACTCATATTTTGAAATAAGATTATGATGATGTGTGTCTATGCTGGTGCTTAATGATTTATTCCTGATAAGTATTTTTAAACTTGTAAAATGCTTATAAGTTAAAATATTTTTTCATGTACGCAAAATGGCTTAAATGATATATAATTTAGCTGGGAATATTTATAAATGGTGAGTAATAATTTTATAAATAATATACTGTAGTAAAAACATAAATTTGAAACAATTAGTTTAAAAATAAATAGATAAGACTTATTTATTTTTATGGTTTATAAACAATTTATAAATCAACTTAAAATACGGAATTCATTTAAAAATTTAAAAACAACACAGAGAAACTTCATTATATATTGCACTTATTTTGAATGTTATTTTGTCAATGGGCTTTTTATGGAGGCCCTCTTTCTCTTTCACCCGGCCATTTTGTAGCACTGTAGCCCAGTACCCAAAGAGCCCTCGTCACTCACTGACCCGGGATCACCCCCAACCTGCGAAACCCTAGATCACGGTCTCGCCATAAATTAAACGCCTCTCCCCTCTCTTCTTCGTCTCCATCTCCTCTCGCCGGCCGCCAGTCGCCGCGAAAATTATCGCCTCCGGGGAGCTACACCTCCGTTCTTCAATAAAGTGCAATCAATGCCTCCTCCATTCCTGTAACTAAAGAACTATAGTTCTCCAATTTCTGTTTATTTCAACTGGATTCGCCTCCTGTGCCGGAGAACAGACATTGAATCTTCCGATTGAACATTGCACTGTTCGTTTTTTTCTTAAAAAAATTGAATTCTGGGGAAGCAGACATTGGAGCTTCCGACTGAACGCAGTGGTCTGATTGCTCAGGTGTCTCTCTTTGTTGTCTCCCCCAAACATTGAATGATTCAGGATATAATGCTTGCTCTCCCCCTTTCATGGATTTGCAAGTTTGGCTTTTCTGTTACATATTCTTCTGGTCTTTCTCTTTTTTTTTTGAAATTTTCTCACAGGGAAATTTGGTATTTTTTTAAGGTCTACACATTGTGCGTGTTTGTCATTTTGGACTTGCTTTTTGCAACATTTTCATATAAAGAGTATTTTACGTTGAAACTTGAAAAGAAACTAAATTGGTATATAAATTTTTTCATTTGAACTAAAGTAATTGATTAGCTTTAATTTTTAACGTGGTTTAAGGACCGAAAACAGTTGACCAAAATATTGTATTGGAGACCGTGAAATATTTTACTTTTATAATTTATATTTTTATATAAATAGAGATATTGGTGGTAAAAATATTGTATTGGAGATTGTGAAAAATCATGTGAGAAATTTTAGGACGGAAAGAGTATAAATTGATACGGAGTATTTCAATATTAAATTTTAAAACGAATTATTCCGTAATTAAATATATTTTTCACAATTTACAGAGAAAGAAAGTAACCACAAAATTGAAATTATGATGATAATTTGAGATGAAACGGTGCAAGCAGACAATGATAACAATAAATGAGTTTTTATGGTATAAATGTGTTAAGAAAAATGTTAGGGGTACAAGTAGGGGTGTTCATGATTAGGTCTGGACCGAAAAAACCGATCGAACCGGACCGATAGGTCTAGACCGAAACCGGACCGGAATGATATCAGGTCGGTCTTCGGTCCAGATTATTTCTAATTTTGGGTTTCGGTCCGGTCCGGTCCAAAACCGAATACCAATAGGACCGAGGGACCGATATAAACCTATTACTCCGTAATCTAATTTGTAATGTGAAGGCACTAAACCCGTAACCCTATCTTATTTTCTTCGCCTCACAGCCACAAGCCCACAAATCGCCGTCTCCCTCACTTCTGTATCTCGTTAACGCCGTCCCTCTCTCTGCCATCTCCGCCTAAATTGCAAATCGAATCGGTGCCGCCTTCTATGCCATCTACCCTCCTCACAGACTGAAACATCGTCTCCCTCACCACCGCATCTCACTCATCGCGCTAATCGTCGTGTCCATCTCAGGCGCAAATCGTTGTCTCCTTCTCCGTCGTTTGTCATTCCTTGAATTCCCACCCTCTCCATTGTCTGTGAGTCCACTATCGTCTCTCTTTCTCTCTTTGGACTCAAACACTGGCACAACGCAGGTAATTTTCAATTTACTTATTAATAAACCTCCAAATTTTTAAAAAAGGATCCTAGAATTTTGTTTAATTTACCGTACAAGTGTATTTTATTTGTCTCTCACTTCTTTTACTATCACAAAAATGGGCAAGAATTTTTTAAAAAAATTAAATAAATAAAAAAGTAGATAAAAATAGGTAGTGGAAATACTCTTATTCCAAACCCAGATTAAGAATAGCCCAAGCTTCAGTTATACGGAGTATTTACTTCCTTGTGATTTGTTCAAAAATACTTTTGACTCCGAAAAGCTTTTGAAACATCATTCTTTTTACTCAAGATCCAATTAATTATTCTTTAAAGTAAGATGTGATATGTAGATCATTAGTAAAAAGGTATGATGTGATAGGTAGAGTATGAAAAAGTATTGAGTAAAAGAGGTTTTTTAAGATAAAAGAGAAGTTTATTTGGGTACAAAGAAAAAACGAAAGGGAGAAATTTATTTAGGGACGAGGACTATATTTTTGTATCTTCATGACTTCATGGTGTCCACATGCTTGCCACCACATCCTCATTAATGTGGTCATGCAATGTTAATGGAATTTTGTCTATCAAAGGAGTGTTGTCCATCCATATCTATCATGCCAAAATCTAGTCTTTTCTCCATTGCCAACCTGCTTGGATTGAGAAGTCGAAATAGTAACTGTGACATTTTTTTTGGGACGAAGAGCCGTCCTAAAACTTTCTTCCCGTTGCGCAAAACGAAGAAAAATTCCAAGTTTTTTCAATCTATTTTATTTAAATATTGGTATAGAAATAAAAAATAAAACATACACATTTAAAAACTACATCAAAAGTTCAATAAAACAAGTGGTGACAAGAATATTTTATTTTATCATATAGACAATGAAAAAACACAAATAAATATAAATTCCCGTGAAGTTGAAATAGTGCTCTGGGAAGAAAGTTTTAGGACGGAAAGAGTAATATCTTTGTGTTGGCATGAGTTTTTTTAATGCTCCTTCATCCCAAATGAATGACTTTAGATTACCATTCAAAAATCATACTCCCTCCGTCCTATAATGATCTTCCCGGTTCGCAAAACGAAGAAAAATCCCAAGTTTTTTCAATCTATTTTATTTAAATATTGGTATAGAAATAAAAAATAAAACATACACATTTAAAAACTACATCAAAAGTTCAATAAAACAAGTGGTGACAAGAATATTTTATTTTATCATATAGGCCATGAAAAAATACAAATAAATATAAATTCCCGTGAAGTTGGAATAGTGCTCTGGGAAGATCATTATAGGACGGAGGGAGTAGAAATTAAACATTTGTATGTTAGGGCATTTGCAATGGAGGCTTCAACTCTCACCGCACCGGAAATTCCGCCCTTCTACCTGCAATAGAAGCGCGTCACAGCGGGCGTGGGATGGGGAGTGGCGGGGCGGAAAACTTGCTCCCATTGCAAATGCTCTTATATGTTTTCATCGATTATTTGATAAAATAAAATATTTTTATCACATCTTATCTAGAAGTTTTTTTGACATAGTTTTATAAATATGTAATTTTATTTTTATTTTTATACAAATCTTTAAATACAACAAATTAAAAAATTTAAAATTTGTTTCATTTTGGATAATGTAACAAACATTTTGAGAGGGAAGAATAACACTTTTGGTAAAATGTGCCCACCCTTTTAGAAACTTGACGTATGGGTCTGCCTAATTTATGTTAATAACTTGATTTTTGTTGAATGGATTTACGGATTTACCAATTAGCTGAAGCGTTAGTTCTTTTTCTTCTACGATACCTAATTTTCTTTGGTAGTTTTTGTTTCTATATTTGATAAAAAAATTCGATTAATTTTTTTTATGTATTTTTATTAATTATTTGATAAAAAAATATTCTTATCATATCTTATTTTTTAGAATATTTGGTATACTTTTAAATTACACTGTATGCAATTTGTACTTTTTATTTCTATACAAATTTGTAAATAAAATAAATTTAAAAATTGCAATAATAATAGTAATAGCAATAACAATAAGAGCACTGGAAATACCCGTGAAGACTCGGGGCTTCAAAATTTGCCTCTCTGCCACGTCAGCTTTAACTTACCTCACAGATTCAGTGGAAATGGGTTTGAAGCCCGGGGCTTCAAACTAGGCCTTCAAACTTTCATTTTTTACATTTTTAAATATACATATTCTAGAACTAAATTAATAAAATTTAATTATTTTATTATTTAATTATATTGAAACAAGAATAATTAAAAAAATACATTCATTAAATTAAAAGAAATTGAAGCGAAAATAATTAAAAAAATTGCATTCATTAAATTAAAAAAAAGAAAGCGACAATAATAAAAAAAACTAAGGTAAATTATATTTGGCTTTAATCTCTTTTTGTCTTCCATTAATAAAAAAACTAAGTGAAAAAATACATTACTAAAAAAAACTAAGGTAAAAAATTACTCCGTACATTTTCTTTTTTTCTTCCGACGGCTAAATTAGCTGTTATAGGAGGAGGAGTTTGCGTCAAATGTATGACGCTGATGCAATGACGCCGGGATGAAACCCAGGGGGCGGTGTTTTAACGCCCCCGGACGTCAAAAGGGGCTTAACGCCGCTGGGCCTGATACGTATTACCACTGCTCTAATAATACGAGTAATAAGGCCAAAAATAAAAATTATGTTAAACAATGAAAAATATCGTTAAAACCTCCAACTCCAAACCAATGTTCCAAACCATATTTCTGCTGCTCAGTTCCCTCTCTGAATTCTTATCAAATAGAGTAATTCACTGTATATTAAAAGCCCGCGATAATTTTTTTTACGGAGTATATAAATTTTCCATCTTCCTCATCTGTTTTAATTAGCCTCTGGATTTATTATGAATTTTCAATAAATGTAAAACCAGGTCTGGATGAGATGTGATGCCCCCTCCTTCCCATGAAACCAGAAGGTAAATTTATGTAATCTTCATAGGCGTTTAGTCTCCCCAAGTTATGTGTTCTTTTTTTTTTCTTCTAAAGATCAAGTGCTAATTTAGTAATTTTACCCTTTTTCGCTATTCCCTGAAGTTAAATATTTCATGAGCTTACTAAAGCAAGTTTGAGATTTTGGTTGAGTCGGTTACTTGAAGTGGTATCGGAGTCTTATTGACGAAGATGTCACGAGTTCGAGACTCAAAACGTTTCTTGGGGCCTTTGGTTGAGTAGGTTTATTGACATCGAGGCTAAGTGTTTTAGGATGTGGTTGGACAGGTAGTGCTTCAATGACCATCATTTCGGAGGGAGAGGACGAATTGCAGGATAAAGATGAGGGAGAGAATGATGGGATTGGGTGTAAAAGAAAGAGTGCAATTGTCATTAATGGTGCGGGCGAGAGGGTGCTTCGACCCCAAGGTGCTCCGCTGGTGCAGCCACAGCCAGAGCAGAGTCACGGTGTAAACATCTATTGGGAAAGATTTCTTCATGTCACTTCCATTAAAGTTCTGCTTGTAGAGAGTGATGACTCCACTAGACACATTGTCACTGCTTTGCTCCGGAATTGCAATTATGAAGGTCGCTTTTGTCATTTACAAACTATTGTGATTCGTTCGTGGATAATAATGTCGAGATCCCTCATATGAGTCATAATCCATATGATTACCAGTGCCAAATCGTATTATGTGATTGAATCCGATCATTTTGCTAGTCTAATCCAAGGCTTTTTAAACTCATACTCTATTTCTTTAACATTTCTCTGTGGAATACGATCATTTTCCTTGGGTTAGATTAATCGATCGATTGGATTCTGCCTTTTACAAGTGTTTAATTCATGTGTGTGTGTATAGTTGAGTAACTCTAATCCAATTACATATTTCTATCAATAATAATGCCCTAAACTTGTTGGTTGAATGTAGTGATTGTAGCGGCGAATGTATTGCAAGCATGGAGGGTTTTAGAAGAGCTAACCAACCATGTTGATCTTGTGCTAGTTGAGTTGGAAATGCCCGATGTGTCGGGCATAGGTCTTCTCTGCAAAATCATGAGCCACAAAACGCGCAAGAATCTTCCCGTTATCAGTGAGCACGGATTTTTTCCCACTTTTGAAGTTCTTATACAACAACGTTTCATTGTCATGTTTATCATTTGTCAATTTGATTTCATTGACCTCCACAGTTGACGTGGATCGTTTGCAGTGATGTCGTCTTGTCATTCTATGAGTTTAGTGGTTAAGTGTTTGTCAAAAGGCGCAGTTGACTTTCTGGTCAAACCTATCAGGAAGAATGAGCTCAAGAACCTATGGCAACATGTCTGGAGGAGATGTCAAAGTGTGAGTCCCGATATCTGCACTCCCCGACATAAACTTTCTTTGACAACAAGCTTACGAAAGCTCCTACCAAATCTTATTGTCAAGTGTTAATACTCATATTAAAATACTTTTTTTCCAATTACAGCCATTTTATATCTTAGTATGTTAATCCTTATGCATAGAGATGCTAAAGAGAGATGGTTAAGTTTATAAAGCAATGAGTTAAACTAGCTAAAGGGTTGGATACAAATTCTAAGTTGTTTAACAAATGAGTTCTATCATAAAAACAAATGGAAAAACTATGGTGGAATAAAATAATATAAACCTATTTTTTGCTCTTTGAATCACGGAGTATTTTATTTCATTCTTTTCATTAATTGATGTTTGGAATTCTCAGTCTGGCGGAAGCGGGAGTGAAACTGGGGCACAAACCCAAGACCCTGAATATTCAAAGAGCATTGAGAAATTTGACAAAAGCAATGATGCAGATGACAACATAAGGAATGATTTGATTATTGTTGACACTAATGATGATGACGACGACGACGGTGATGTTGATGATGATGACGACGATGGAAACCCCGAGGTTACAATATTTCATTAAGCACAACTCCTTGTTTAAAATTAATTGAAATGTTTCTTTTAACTAATTGGTTCATTTTCACCTCCTCAAAATAATTGATGTGTATATCTTGTCCTCATATCTTTTTGAAACATAGCATGTTATATTAGAACATTCGATCTTGCAGAGCTCTTCAACAAAGAAAGATGTTGAAGTAGACAGTTCCCAGGCGACGTTTCTACAGAATGAAGTACCTAAAGATTTCCAAAAACAATCTCGTACCAAGGTTTTTTCTTCTAAACTACCTTATGTATATCTTCTTCCTTATGTGGTTCTTTTAGACAACAATGAAAATACAAAATACTTTCTCAGGTATACCTAAAAACATTACTCCCTTCGTCCCAAATTAGAAGTCCACTTTGACTGGACACACATTAAGAAAAATTTTGAAAAGTGTGATGTTATTTTGGAAAATTTTGAAAAGTTTGAAGGAAATGGACTTTTATTTTGGGATGGACAAAACTGAAAAGTGTGATGTTTACTTTGGGACGAAGGGAGTATAGTGCACCATAAACATCCCATTGACGTTCGGGTCAACCTTGTGTGTGAAAAGGGTAAGAATGTGGTGGAAACAGATTCCAATGCAGGCAGTAAGAGAATAGAGGAGCAGGTAATTAAACTACTTGTGTATCATATCAGTGCTTATTAAGCCATGATTTATCAATATTAATAACATATCCCATCCTCAGATCAACAGCGAAAAAATTGAATCTCAAACAGTGGTGTCAGTTGGTAAGAATGCCACCATGTACGAATCAAGAAATGTAGCTATTGAGCCAAGTTTAAAGAGGCTGAAAGAATCAAGAGAGGCTTCTCATTATATGTTCTGGCGTTCGGAGCAATCGGTCTTCACAAGGTTTGGTAAAAATAAATTTAGTTGATTTTTAGACTTGTAGGCCGCATCCCACATTGATTACAAACACTAACATTAGACTCGAGCTAGTACTATAACCTTTTCCATCATCTCCGATGGAGCCAAAATTTCACAATTTTTTGGCTTTGGGGTGTGATGGAATAAATCAAAATGGATCTCTAAACTGTCTGCGCTTCTTTAATTAATGAAGTAGCAATGCAACTTTCGACGTTGAGCCGGGGGTCTCTTTGGAAACAGCCTCTCTACTTTCGAGTAGGGGTAAGGTCTGCGTACACACACCCTCCCCAGACCCTACTCTTGTGGGATTTAATTGGGTTGTTGTTGTTGAGCCATTTGATCCCCGTAAACCTAAAAAAAAAACTATATCTCAAAATTGATCATCAAGACTTTGTAGTGGTGGGCATTTCACTTTTTTAGGGTAGGCTTTTAAAAGGGATTGAGGATAAAGTGATATATTGACCGAATTAAAATCGACTATTCCATGGCTCGACGTGGTTCGGTTTATTTTCTGTTTGGATTTCAATTTGTTAGATTTTTATCAGGGATTTAGCGTTTCTTTTTTGTTCAGTTTGGTTCTAACCTGTTTCAGTTAGGCTTGGTGTAGTACAAGAAAACTGTTACCAAACTGAAACCGATTACATGTGGTTAAGTTTGGGTTCATGCTCATTCTGTCATGCCCTTATATGAGACGTATGTTCTCGTTCTTGGGTGCGTGGCTTTGCAGGTACAATACATCCTCAAAATCAAATCAATTGGATGCCGCTTCACACACTGTCCAAGAAGATAAAACAAACGAAACATTTGCAACTAATGCTTTGCAAGCAAAAGCGCTGCTAGATCCACGCAATTCTCACCTTCATCATCACTACAATAATAACATCCATCGTTTCCGCAACCAAGAACCAGAGCCTGCTATGAACTACGAGCGCACGAGAAAAAGTTTAACTAGAGATGACAGTGGCTGTGGCTCTGGAAACAGAATGGACCCAAACAAACTTGCAAAACGACGAGCTGCTTTGACCAAGTTTATTAAAAAAAAAACAGAAGATTGTTCAATAACAAGGTAGATGATAATGTGAGAGACCTATGAGCTTCGATTTTAGGTCCATAAAAAACTGCATTTCTTTCAATGTTACTCTGAAAATTTGAACCAGTTTTTCGTGAATGTCACTCCAATTTGTACCCCTACTATTTTATGTGTGTGAACAGTGAATTTGAAGCGGCATTAACAAAAAAAATTGAGTGACAATATCATTATCCATTTAAAAAAAAATTACAATTCTAAATGGATAATTTTGCCACTGCTTTCTTTTATTTGCAAATAAAATAACTATATCAAATTTTCCCAACTATTTTTACCTAGTTTTACTATTATGATTCCCTCTTGAAGCCGGTGGAAAAACAAAGAAACTTATAATAAAAGACCGTGAAACAACAATGAAACAATTAATAAAAGCCAAGGGAAAACGTAAGAGTACAGCAGAAAAACGAAAAAAATGTACGGTAAATGTTAGTTCGTATGTCATTTTTCGGTTAAACAGATTTAATATCACTCATTGGCATTCATTTAGAACTCAAAAGAACCAGTTTTGAATCAATGGTGAGATGAACTTTCAATCAATAGCACACAACTGATGAGTAATTTCACCAATACTAACAGCAACAATTTCGCCCCATTAAAATTGAAAGCCATTTTTTAAAAAATTTAAACACAGAAATTTAATTTCTTCATTTCAACAAAAAAATCGAAAGCTCTCCTAAAACATTACATGCAACCACCTTTCATTCGAAAGGACTGTTTCCTCTCGTGTTCTTTTCAAGTTTCAATGTCTGTTCAGCGTAGATTAACACACAAGGTTTAAATAGGAGTAACTTGTCCGATAAAAACTTTGTAGTAATCTACTGTACAGAGCACCGGATATAAACAAAAATGGAGAAACTTTAGCTGGTGGGATGGGGAGGAGATCCCCAAGAAGAAGATGGATGCACATGTCAATCTTTAGAAGTGGCTTTTCCATTGTCGTCTCGATGCCCATTGATCTGAAGTTGAGAACTGTTTGTGTCTTGTCCTCCAGCAGCACTACTTTTACTTGTCGTTGGTGATGGAAGGTCACAGCTTTGCTTTCCCTGTCATTGTGTTTATTTTGACATACTCATTTCAATATATATAAGCAACCTACTAACCAAGGCATGTGATTCATCATCTTTGTGCCTGCTTTTTGAAATGATTAACGTTCTTTAAGGCAGTAGGAATTGGGAGACGTTTTAGGGTGTTTTGCAAACTTGTACCGGAAGCCTAATACTAATCCTGAAGCAACTCCTACCGTGATTACGGAAACTAACTGTAATCATCATTTTGTGGTTTGCTATTTTGCTTCAGAACTAGATCACAAAAGATTTGGAAACTCCGCCTGTCACTTGTTCATGTCTTGTCCAAGCCCTCCGAATCTCAGATCGGATGGCCAAGATATTCTACATTTTATGCTCCCGGTCCCATAATAAAAATTATAGTTTGACTTTACGTAGTCTAAGAAAAGTCTTGAGAGGTAAGAAGTGTGTGGCTAAATTTTGGCCAGAATAAAGTGAAACGGTCTGAGCCCTAATTGTTGCCCGATCCCACCCTCAACTAAGGTCTGTCCGCTCTGAAATTAGAAATAGACGGCTGTGATAGATAATCAGTTTGCATGTCTTTGAGAACAAGTGGAGACCCAATATCTCATCATAACAGTGCAGTAGATCTGTCAAATGTTCAAAGCCTGAAACACATCCATTTCACACTGATTGCTTCTCCTCAGAGCATAAAGTCATAAACATTGATTTTGATTGACATACCTTGTTTCTATCTCGCCAGCCAAGGCCAAATGACAGCAGCCCAATCTTTCTCCCAGGTGCATTCCTTGGGGATTCAGCTTTCGAACTAAAAGCATGTGAACATCAAAAGGCATCATCATCTTATGAAGCTCAATTACCACATTTAAAAAACATATTCCGAAATAAGCATCTACGAGTTCCAGGTTTATCCATTTATTTCAATAGAGTCAAGAATCACACACCCCCTTTAGGGATCGAGATATGAGAAATTACTAGTTTACATAATCAAGAAAGCAAGCAAATGAACAGAGCAGAATAAAACGGGAGATCGATGTATGAAATATGTGTTCATAACCCACATAGCACACACCTTGGGGAAGCTGAAGCTTTGACTTGGCCAGATTCATATTGTTCAGATGCTTCTAGCATCGATTCTGCCATCACTGCTCTCTTCTCCATCTGAGCAAGTGATGCTATTGCTTTTTCATACTTTTCCTGCATAAAATTAATGATGGGCATGGTCAAGACTCAAGACATGCTAAATAAACAGAAATCACTGTGCAATTTACTACAAAAAATGTAATGCTCGACCGAAGTAGAATTGTTAAATTTTGATAAGGTACAAACATGACTCTGGTTTTTTGGGGGGCAGTAGGGAGTATATCCAACAGGCAAAACCAGAGCTCAAGGTATAAGAAGCACAGTATCGAGGAACAAACAGAGCAGATGAGAAAAGAAGAGAGAAAAGCTTACTAGCACATATTTCAAATAAAAAGGAAAGAACCTGAAGAATGTATGCTGCATATTTTTGAGCAGCTGCATCTTGCTCTGCAGCAATTCGAGCTTCTTCAGTGATCTTTTGCTCTTGTTCAACCCGCATCAGCACCTAAAAAGCAATGCATGCAAGTATGAGTTGGTAATGCACAAAACACATAACAATTGCAAGATATGGAAGACACAGAAGTGGCTATACCTGAACCATTGCTGCCTCTTGTTCTCTCTTATCTGCAAGGATTTGGTGCAGTTCAGCCAACTGTTGCTCCAGTTGCTCAACCTGAGTGCAGATTACTATCGAATCATACTGATCAAAATTCATTGGCATACTAGCAAAGAGTGCATATGTTTCCTACCTCTAGATAGAAAATAAATGATTCCTTATGTATAAATTGCCCAAGTACCATCCATTACCATTTGTGACAGTACCATCATAAGTCTGAGTACTTGGTTTTGTCACTAGTATGTTAAGATTGGAAGTAGTCTAGGAAGAAACTTTTTATTTTGATATAACCGCCTATCTTGTTCAATTTTAAATTTAATCACTTCATTTATTTCTCATATTCAATATGTGTGTGTGACTGTGTGTGTGTTTTGCAGCCGACAACAGCATGTAAAACTCCATACTACTAACAAATATCTTGGATACCCGTGCACTCAGTTCTCGCCGATTATCTTCCTTGACCAATTCCATGAGGGCAGTTTCCAATTCTTCAGCTCTAGAAACGAATTGCATGTGGTATAAAAGGTTAGCACCATCATTTTCTAAGGGTTCTTCCAAAGCTTAAAAGCAATGATGATAAGAAATCAAGCAAAAAACATGCAATCACTGCAGAAATGTTTCTGGTTAAAATTGTTGCCAATTCCAAGTGAAAACCAATAATAGTAATGTCATAACCAGTAAACCACAGCAGCACAAATTCTGGTGATGTTAGAGAAGGCAAGAAACATTGATAATGCAAGTTTACTGAGTTCAAACTTATGACTTATCCAAGACTAAAAAGCTAAAGAATTCACTATCTTAGAACAAAAATTTGCATACCATCAAGAGAACAACCTAGTGTCATCCCACAGGTTGGGGTGCATGCAGAGTGGTTATTTTCAAACTGCTCTTGGCTAGATAATGGAATATTGAAAATGGAATTCGAACCCTTGACCTCTAGAATAAACAAATTTTGTTTCAACCACCTAGGCAAATAGTGCTTGTTTCTTGTGTAGCTGTTGGAAGAATGAAATAAGAAAGCTAATCCTTTCCTTTTTCTATTGAAAACCTAGAAAAATGGCAATTCAACAAACACCATAATATGATACAAAATATGCTGCTAAAGGGTTTAATATTATGAAAATGAAGGTAACTCAAATATGTATATTACAATGGATGTGTGAGTATACGAGAATGGATATGATAGAATAAGAAATGGGATTATCCAAAAGAAGGCAGAAAAGATATCTGGAGGATAAGTTGAAAGTGACTCAATTGTGGTGGTTTTGACAAGTACAAAGAAACCTAGTAATGCACCACTACGAGTTTTTTTATAGCACCACTTTAATGGGTGGTGGAATGATTTTTTGCAAAAAAAAGGAAGAGAGAGCCCCAAAAAATGCAGTAATAAGTCATTAGGAGTTATTTATCTTATCTAAACTTGGACGAGTGTGGCCATGGACAGAAAAAATGGTGAAAGAGGTCAGAGCATTTTCGTGAATGACCAAACATGGTGTCCTCTTGGTTCATGTAGTTGACCCCAAGTTACTTGGAAGAAGACTTTTCGTTGTTGTTGTTGTTGTATCCAGACTATAGAAGCACCTGCAACCCCCAGATCCCACTTGTGATATTTTACTTGGTAGGTAAGGTAGGTAGGTTGTTGTTCATGTTGTTGTATGGAATAGAAGCACCTACAAATAAAATAACAGAGAACGTCGAACAACAGAGTTAAAAGCTAACCGGAGTACAGCTGCTCTCTTCTCTTCCAGTAAGTTACATAGCTCAACCTTCAGCCATACCACCTGCACAGGAGCATGCAGAGAAAACAGAGAGATTCACCAATTCAACAAACCAAATGCTGTTAGTGTTTCAAAATAGTGCTTTGTTTATGCCAGATGTGTCCAACTAACTTAGGAAACTACAACATGCTAAGATAACCATACAAGTCACCTGTTCTTGAAGATCTGGAACAGAATCTGCTTCAAGATCTGTGGGCACACTGTTCAGAAAATCTTCCAGATATGTAGAGCTAGTCCTAGAATGTGATTCATCACTGTCTACAATCCTATCACCTGAACCTTCCTCTGTTTTTACTTGTTTCATTCTCAATTGAGAATCATGCTTGAAACTACAGAGCTTAGTCACAAGACTTTTTGGATCTTTTAGAACTTGACCACCTTTTGATCTTTCCTCTAATGTTGAAATTACAGATGGTCTATGCTTCTTTCTTAGTTCTTGCAATCTATCTTCAGTTACATTTGAAAACCCCATACATGCAGTCAACACAAGTTGACTGCTATCAAAAGTGGAACCAGCTAGGGATTGTAATAAAGTGATGGCATCTCCAGCATCATTGGTTGTCACTATAGCAGGACCTGTTGTTATTTGAGAACCATAACATCCTCTCATTGAAAGTGTTATAATAACAGGAAGCAAGCAATTACAGCACAAGTGCTTAGTCTATACCATATAACTCCATCAAGGCAAGTGCAGTTCGAAATAGCATGACACGACTCCCTTCAAACAAAAGTACATCCCAAACTCGTAGAACTGAAGACGAACAATGAAAAAAGAATGAATAGCTTGCCATGCTTTTTACAAAAATTGAATTAAAGTTCCCTTATTGCACAGTATCACTCACCACTTTCCCATGGAAGCATATTTACAAAAATTGAAAGAAACCAAGGTGCAGATATCCATGTAACCTGCACTCCCAAGTAATCTAGATGATTCACTGCAGCAAATTAATTTATTAAGAACCTAGTAATCACCTATATAGTAAGAATCAAGCGTTCATCTATAAAACAATGTACGGACCCAGTTTAGGAAACCTTTGACGCATCAACTCTTCATAAACAAGTTGGTCAACCTGAAAATGGAAGAAATTGCCGATGTAACCACTGCAAGTTGTAGAGTCAGAATGAGTAAAAATGGTAAGCAAACCTGAGACTCGATCATTTCTTGTGAGAAACATCCACCAAAATAGTCATCCATAATGCCCACCAAGGCCCTGAAAGATTTAACAATGGTTAAATGGAACACCTGTAAAACATGATAATCAACGTTACCATCCATGATCCAACCTAGAGGGTCTGTTTGGAACCCGGAAAATGCTAGGAAAAGAAAACAAAGGTGAAAATAGATCAGAAATTCGGAAAGGACATAAGAAATAAAGTTTGGTAAAAAATAACACCTTGATTCAAACTCAATTTATGAATTTTAGATATTTGTTCAGATTCACTCTAAAATATGAAGACTAAAATATCTAACTGCATGTAAAACTGTAAAAAAGTTTTAATCAATATCGGTTTTCCTCTATATTTTCCTAAAGCATTTTTCCTTTTACCTACCATTTTAGGTGTTCCAAACATGTTCCAAACATAGCTGGAGCATATTAATATAGGAGGAGTCTGGTGCAGTTATATCAAGAATCAAAATGAGGACGATGTTGAAGTTCAACATTGGGGACCAAAGGATACTGCGAAAAGACAATTTCAAGTATTTGAACTCTATCATACAAAAGGAAGGATGGAAGACGCCATCACACACCATATTTAGGTAGGGTGGCTAAAGTGAAGGGCTGTCCCATGAGTGCTTCCCAAAAAGGTCCCATTGAAATTAAATAGCTAATTCTACAGGGTTGCCATTGAAATTAAATAGCTGATTTTAGTAAATATTTCCCCTCGTGTGTATGATGTATCACAAACCATAGAGAATTGTTGTATAAATATTTGATTATTGTGCTTTCATACAAAAGATGCTTCACTCCATATAAATATAATACTCTATGCATGCTGAACCAAATAAGATTGTAATTATGCCCAGATTCAAAATAATTTTCTCTTTTAATAAATATGACACCATAGACCATATTTGGGTAAATTTCATCAATGATACACGAACTTTCATCATTATTTCACTTCGGTACATAAACTTTAATTCCTATCGCAAAAATACACCAACTTTCAGCATTCCTTCACCAATGGTCCATTAGCCGGATTCCAGGTGACCTATAGGCCACTTTGGACCAAATTACAATATAATTTATGCATTTCTAAATTTTCAATTTAACCACCCTTTCCTTTTCTTCTTCACACCTGACCCCCTCGCTTTACTCTTTATTGGATTTGCTTCATTTCTTGCAGATTTCCCCGGCCGGAATCTGCTCTGAGGCAGGAGTTCTCCCGGGAATTTTCCAATTCCGAGCTCTCGGACTTGTATTTCTTGATCGGCTGATTGCTGGAACCCATCCGGAAAAACAAGAAAACATCAAAGCAAATACCGGATCCGGAAAGAAGTGCTGCGAGATTTCAGGTTGAACGAGGAAAGCACCACCCCTGTTCTGATGATCCGCCATCAATGAGGGATTCATCTTATGAGAGGAATGATAACCAGAGGTGCGAGCGCAGCCAGCCAGAGGTGCAAGCATAGCTTCCCAGCCTGCCAATCAGTTCTTTGAACACAAACGCCTGATTTCTGACCGAACTGTTGGCTTCTCCTCCTCCAGCGTTGCACACCGCCTGGAGACGAGACCATTGAGCTCAACGCCAACCGGAAGGGGTCATTTGGATCCACCGGATTTTCCCAGACGGAACTGAACAGATCACTTCCCGGAATTCTGATTCTTTTTGGCAATGCAATTTCATCATTGGGAAACATGGTTTGCTCATCCATGATTGGAAATTGAAGTTCTCGAATGGTTGGTAGTCAAAGAAATCAAGAATTATGTAATTAACTAAAGAAGACCAAGAAAGTTCAGTTCTTTGGCAAGTGCACAGTGTATGAAGTTTGACCTTTTATTTTCATTTTTGTTTTTAAATTACAGAGATAAGGGGGTGCTAAAGAAGAAAAAAGGGAGGGAGTCTGCTGAGAAGAAGAAAAGGAAAATGGGGTCAAATTGAAACATTAGAATTGTATATATCGCAATTTGGTCCAAAGTGGCTTATACGTCACTTGGAAAGCGCCTAATGGACCGTTGGTGAAAGAATGCTGAAAGTTGGTGCATTTCTGCGATAAGAATTATAGTTTATGCAACAAAGTGAAATAAAGCTGAAAGTTGTGTAACATTAGTGAACTTTACCCCACCAAATTCATGCTAAAAAAACTTTAGCGTTGAGCACATCACTTAAAAGCTTACCAAAAGGCATTTTCCTCTGGCATCATGAGTAGCAACAAACCGGCAAAAAAATTCATTGCCTGCAAGTGGTATGCTTCACAATTATGCTAAAAATTAACAAATGTGCCTTTCATTTATTTACTTAAAAATCAACAGTTGCACCATTTACTGAAACTCCTATGGAAATGAAAGGAATTCAGATGAGGTTTGATTTGAGATACAGCTAAAACTAAGCTAAAAATTACCTGGCAATACCCAACTAATGGGTTGTGTCGGGCATACGCCAGAAGTAAGCGCCTTAGGGAATTTCGTCCATTCTCATTCAATGCAGGATGTCCGGGAAAAGTCCGAGGCAGATCCTACATTAACGAAAGAAAAGGGTAAAAGATCAGGCAATGAAAACTTGTGTTATATATATGATAGACCTGCGAGACATGTAAGAACATCTGCATGTAAATCCAAATGAAGGAACAAAAAAATTGTTGATCTAAAAGTCCGAGGCAGATCCTACATTAACGAAAGAAAAGGGTAAAAGATCAGGCAATGAAAACTTGTGTTATATATATGATAGACCTGCGAGACATGTAAGAACATCTGCATGTAAATCCAAATGAAGGAACAAAAAAATTGTTGATCTAAAATATAGGGTATGCACAACAAAAAGAAAAAAAAAGAGGAGCACAACACACTACAAACACATGCCAGTAATGAAACAGAAGGGTCCCTTGAACACTTGACAGCAAGTGTGTAAAAACTAGCCTCAGTCTTTTAATGCAACTGCGTAAAACCACCTCCATTGGGATAACTGACTATTTTGGAATATTGGAAGTATAGAATTATAAAGCACGATAATGCAAATTGCAAAACAATGAGTAGCATTCTTTAATGACCACCCTGGATCCTAAAAAGAGGTATCACCTACAAATTAAAAAGATTGTACGATAAATTCCAGGGCCCATGCATCTAACGACCTTCTCAATCTGCTTCCACCATTTTTCTGACACATCGGCTATCCCTCTATTGGATCCCTTGCTATTGTTGTCTATCAATGGTGTGTCATTCTTCGGGCAAGGACCAACATCATTTTCAGAGATGGTCAAGTCCTGGTAATATCTCTCAACCCGGCGTGCCTTGACACCCACAAAGGCTTGCCAAACCTGAATTGTTTAATACCATCTTGATGTTAGAGATAAATTTTATAAAAACCCTTATAGCTGGTAGACAGGTCACAGAAGCACCTCTCCCCGGAGATCTCTTGGTACTCCTCCATGAACAAGTTGCTCAAGTTCATCCTTCCAAGGCACAGAAGGTTCTACATGACCTCTATCACCTGCAGTACATCCTTCAGCAGCTGTCCTTGAACTGTCATCCAATATCACACTGTTGCTTTCATCATCGTTGTCCTCAGTTTCTTCCCTCAGAGGTTTTGACTCCCCAATTGGAAGAAGTTGATCATGAGAAGATGCTAACTTCTCATCTTTCACATAGTTTTTGTTCTTCACACGAGATGCCATCATAGTTTCAATAGCAGATAGAGATGATCTAATGTCAGCCCATGTCTTCACCTCCCTGGGTTTTGATTGTATGACATTTGACGCCTCTTTCTCGAGAAGGTTTTTTGTATGAATGTCAGGAAGTGGCTTCTCTCTATATGAATCACCAGTCTCTCTGACCACATCATGGCAGGCAATTATATAATTTCTTGTTTCAGAATCCTCTGCCTTGCAGACCTCTCGGCTATGATGTTGTTGGACAGATAATTCTTGGCTGTTAAGAAAACTATTCCACTTATGTGACCTTTCTGCTTCCTCTTCCTAACACATATATGTGAAATAAATTTAGGCACTAAAGCATGCAAGGTGAAAGCATGATATGATTGTGAACAAACTGCATAACTTGTTTGATACTCTATTTTCATTGGTTACGAGAACAAAGAAATGAATATTTTTGCACAATTGTTAAAGATTTTCATCAAATACAATATCATACTCTTTGATGCCTTCTCCCAATTCAATATCAAATGCCATAGTCCTTTCGATCTGCTGATGGTATTTGTAGTGTGCAGTGGTGTGATAAACAATTACCCGTACCTTATAGATATTGGCATACTCTCTGTATCTCTGAAGGTGTTGAGGCCTCACAGTAAACCCATATGTATCCCTATCAACAATGTACCAAGCACTTGAGATAAATTGGTTGCTATATTTACAGATTACAACATATCTACATGTTAATGGTTCGAGCTAAACAAAAACAAAGCTTCTACGGAGTATTATATTGGTTGGATGGCATTGCCCGGTGACAGATCGGGCACGCACTCAAAAAAACAAATTGAAGAAATTCCATAATTCACCGACATGATTATACCTGGAATCAACCTCCAATGACCGTTTACTCAGTAAGGACAACAACATACTTCATCAAAATTCTAATTTTACTGCCCATATCGCTATCCTCCCCTCAAACGAATCCCATGTCATTATATCACATTACTAATCTCACATTAACCTTCATTTTCTCCCTGATTTCCTACTATAATAATTCTATAATCTTAATCCACACGGCGAACAAGCAAACCAAAAAAACACAATCTTGCCCGAATTCACACATCAAACAGATACTTCTTTTGAAAAAATCATGCTAATAATTGCTATCAACAGATTGATTATTCGTCAACACAATGTATCTGGATAGATCGCCGTTCCTCATCACTCATTCTTTTAAACTGAGTTAACTCGCTCTCTCTTTTTTTTCTCTCTTTTTTTTATTGCGAGAGATTTCGCCATTTTCTTCTCCAAAATCAAAGGTGAGCTTCATCTGTATCCAACTTCCCGCCGATTTCGGCCTCGCGGACATCTGTACACCTACATTTTATACGCATAGAAATATGTACAGCCTACGTAAGAGGAGTCTGTGATTCAGTTCATTACCTTTTGGGCTCAAATCCGAAGAAATGGTTGGGATTTTTTAGCGCCATTTGAGGTTGAGGCCGCTGGGAATTTGTGGCCCTGAAAATAATCGGCCGGCTACTTCGTGTTCCTCTTCACCACTGTTTCTCCTTCAATGGATATTTTTTCTGGCTGACTGAAAATTTTGGTCTGTAATGGCGCAATCGAAAATTAATGATAGTACCAATAATGTCTCAATTCGAACATTTGCCCCTCCCAAAATTATTTTATTTATAAATTAATATGGAGTACTATATTATCATTCTTTTCATTTGATTTTTCATATTTTTTAATATAATTTTAATTATCAATATCTTTATTTATTGATTGATGTACTAATCTGTTAACACTATTCGAATATCGTGCAAAATTTTATATTTTTAAAAATAATTTTATCTATAAATTGATATATAAATAAAAATTATAATTTACATATTTAAAAATAAACATAAAAAATTTTACAAACTAAAATACGACAAGAATATTTTATTTTTTCAAATTACCAATAAAAACACGCAAGCAAACAAGAGTATAAGTGTAAATAATTATCGGAAAGTTCAAATAGTAAAAGTGTAAATAATTATCGGGAAGTTCAAATACTATTTACAAAATACTATCGGAAAGTTCAAATAGTAAAGGTGTAAATAATTATTTTTTAGATTGATGGATTATATTATAAAAATGTAATATGATGGAAGGCAGCCCCATGTCATCAAGATTCAACAAGAGCTTGTAATGGACCCGCATTTGACCCCACCAACCACATCATCAGTGGACATTCTATCGTAGGACGGCTGGTTAGTTAGCTCGCTGGTTGACTCGCCTAGGACGGAGCCCTTACGCTCGGTCTTCCATGACCGAGTAAGCAAGCTCAGTTCATCCAAGCTCGAGAAAGAGAAGAGGTCCACCGGGGAAAGCCTCACAAAGAGCCCCGAGGTTACACTGGGTTTGACATGAGATAGGAAACACATGGGAGCGGTGGTTGTTGCAACGTGGGCATGTCAGAACGGATTCATCGAATGGGAGCACACCCGCAAGTTTTCACCGACTAACGACAAGGGCTAGACGACAAAGGAATATCACGAGCCGTCACAAGGTTCCATACACCAATGACAATAGCCAATCGACAAATAAGTGTCAATCACGATCTATTACCGTTGTAACTAATAATAGTATAATACTCTTATGCCACATTGTTAAAAGGGTTCTGAATGTAGACCAATAATACTCCTATATTGCACTCTTTCGCCCTCTGATCTATTCTATACTCTTCGCTTACTCATCCTTACTCCTCGGTCGGCCTACTTGGTAGTTTCTGACCATTAATTTTAATTGTGTTTCAAAATGAATTTATCTATAATAAATCTATATCACAATTTGATATATTTTTTCGTGATTTGTAATCAAAGTTTTAGAGAATAAACCTTAAAACTTAAAAGTCAAACTATGAATATTGAAAAGGCATGGAAAGAGTATACCAATACTCCCTCAATCCTAAAAAGATTATCGTACTTTAATTTTTTTAGTCAAATAATACAACTCTTTGATCACAAGTTAAATATATTTTAAATAATTAAATGTTATAAAAATTTATTAGATCAAAACTATATTTTAAAATGAACAAATTTTACTAAATTTATGTTCTAACTAAATATTATCTTTGTTATTGGGTATTTGTCTAGTTTTGACTTTTTTACGGGCAACTACTTTCGACCTTTGAGCTTTAGATAAACAGAAATCATAAAGTATATTAATTAGATAAAACAATATTTTAAAAAAATCTATAAAATAAATTTAAGAATTTTTTTATATCAATATCAAATACCAAAATTAATTAATGGTCAAAATTTATTAATTTTGATTGCTAAAAGTCAACCATTGGCGGACCATTGATCACGGTTAGCGGTCAGGGGTGACATTTGGTGGTCGACGACAACAGTCAACAGATGATAATTGGGTAGTGATAGTGTGACAGTATGATGAGTGACTATGTAACAATAATATAATAATGTAAACTCATATTTTTATTTTAAAATACTTATGCCTACTATTTTGATAATTTTATTTTTATACAGAGAGTTCTCCCTATAATATTTGCATGATTTGTGATCACAGTGTAACTAGTTTTATCAAAAAAATTAAACTACGATAATCTATTTGGAAGGGGGTAGTAAAAAAATATTCTCTATCCGTTTAAAAATGTTTGTCACGTTATGTAAGACGAAACAAAATTTCAATTTTATTTTTAATTAACTTTACTTAAAAGTTAATATAAAAATAAAATAAAATTTACATATTAAAAAAATATCAAAAGTTTTTTAAAATATGTAGTGACAAAAAAAATTTATTTATTAAATAATCAATGAAAATTTTGAAAAATCAAAAGTTATTTAAATATTCTTTAAATCTGTTATACTCTTTCCGTCCCAAAAAGATGGGTATATATTTATCTTTTTGGAAAATTAAGGGAGGATATTTAAACATTCTTTAAATCTGTTTGCTGTGTTATAAATCGGCCATTGAATGTCGCTGCAGCAATAAGATGCTTCTGAAAGCCATCCCGCATGACCCAATTGGGTTCGGCTACACGCTGTACTCGAAACTTCTGAATATGTTCATCGAGCTAAAAGCCAAAAACAAGTGCCGTATGGTTCATGCCCATTTGATAACAAATGGGTTTTCGTCAAACGTACATCTGGGCACAAAGCTGATCATATTCTACTCAAAGTATGGTGACATGGAAGTTGCTCAAAAGGTGTTTGATGGAATGCCCCAAAGGAATTTGGTTTCTTGGACTGCCTTGTTGTCTGGGTATTCCCATAATGTCAATTCAGGAGAAGCTCTGAGGGTGTTTGCAACAATGCACCGGAAGGGGTTGAAGGGGAATCAGTTTACGTATGCAAGTGCTTTGAGGGCGTGCACCAGTTTGTTGTGTCTGGAAAGGGGGAAACAAGTACAAGGGCGCATTCAGAAGACCAGATTTGCTGGGAATTTGTTTGTGCAGAGTGCATTGCTTGATTTTCATTCAAAGTGTGGGAAAATAGAGGATGCTCGTCATGTGTTTGATTCAATGTTAGAGAGAGATTTGATTTCATGGAATTCAATGATTGGTGGGTATTCTTTTCAGGGGCTCTGGGATCACGCTTTTTTTGTGTTCCGCTTGATGCTTAGGGAAGGTATTCGTTGGTGCTCACCATTTTTGGTTAAGTTGATATTCATGTTTCTGTTATTACGCCGAAAAATCTATCACAAGGAACTAATGAACTATCCAAGATGACGGGACTGGTTTTATATTATGCCCTCTCTGTTTCGCTTATATAGAGATTCTTCTTGTATGTAGGTTTATCCCCCGATTGCTTCACCTTTGGAAGTGTTCTGAGAAATGCATGTGGAGATCATAGTGTTTCTAGACTCATGATGGTCAGCAGTATACATGGTATCATTGTTCAACTAGGCTTTGAATCAAGCAACGTTTCAAGGGGATCTTTAATTGATGCCTATGTGAAGTGTGGAAATTTAGCTGGTGCATATTATCTTTATAAGAATATGAAGAAGAAAGATATCATATCATGCACTGCATTAATTACGGGTTATGCTCGTGATGGTAAAGGCATTGATGACTGTGTGGACATCTTCTTGGGGTTACACCGAAGCCACTTGGGAATTGACAGTGTAATATTGTGCTCAATGCTCAACGTGTGTGCTAATTCAACATTACTGAGTCTAGGAAGGCAGATGCATACTCTTGCATTGAAATATCAAAGTGGTCAGGATGTAGCCCTAGGGAACTCTTTGATTGATATGTACTCAAAGACAGGTGAGATTGAGGATGCTAAGAAAACTTTTGATCTCATGAAAGAGAAGAATATAATCTCTTGGACATCAATGATAACTGGATATGGTATGCATGGCCACGCGGAGCATGCAATTTCTCTTTACAAGAAGATGGAATCACAAGGAATTCACCCAAATGATGTTACATTCTTATCCCTCTTCTCTGCTTGTAGCCATTCTGGGTTGATGTCTCAAGGTTGGGAATGCTTCCATGATATGGTAGGAAAGTATAAGCTTTTGCCGCGGTTGGAGCATTATACATGCATAGTAGACCTTTTGGCACGTGACGGTTGGTTGGAGGAAGCCCATAATTTGATATGTTTGGGGAATATTCAGTCGAATGCCTCTCTTTGGGGATCAGTTCTTGGGGCTTGTAGCATGTATGGAAATATGCACCTTGGAGAAGTAGCGGCAAAGAATTTATTTAGTTTGAAACCCAAGGAGTCTGCCAACTACGCTGCCCTGGCTAACACATATGCATTGGCAGGTTTATGGCAAAGGGCAGCATATACACGGGAACTGATGAAAAATGGGAGGTTACTAAAGAGTCCTGGTTATAGCTTTACCTTGTCAAATACTAGCAAGAATATACCACTTCTTTCATCTGGTTGAAACAAGAATTATCCAACAGCTCTTCCTTAAGTTGGTCAGATCATAGGTGCTTCAGTTTGGCATAGTGGAGAATGGTTGGGACATATCATTGGTGTCATGGAGCTGGTATATTTAAATTGATTTTGTCTCATCTATATCTTTCTTTATTTCTCTCTCTCAGTCTCTCTTACCCCCACCCCACCCCACCCCCCCCCCCCAAAAAAAGGTACAGCCCTTTCCTAGTCATTAGCCAGACATCATATATTCATGTTGGTTGATATGATAAAATGATTCCCGTTAACAGTGACAGATAGTATGGCATATCACTCTGGTGCAATTTGAAATCTGTGGTGGTGATGGTGCATAGGAATGATTGGAAATGCTTTGAAGGTCGCGATCATTATGCAAACACAAACAACTTATGTAAGTTACTCTATCCTATCCTTGTGTCCTTGTATGTTAAGATGTCATTGTGTACTAAAAGAGAGAACTATTTGCTTCTATAGACAAAATATCTTACCCTACTATATTATTGACTCATGAGTTCCCATGAGAATTTTCCCATCTGTTGGTGTAAAGTGTAAAAACCAATTTCAGTTTTGCAAGGTAAAAAAAACTGTGCATGTGGATCCAACATGGTGAAACTTCAAGCTGATTCTGCTTTTGTCAAAAAAACCGATGACCAGAAAGAGAGTGGTGTAGAAATCGAGAAAAGGAAACACGTTGACAGCCACAGCTCCTCTAGCCTCCAGGTTCTAATATAGCAGACGTAATATCGAGGGCCAGGCTTGCCAAAATAAACAAAGAAATGCAAGGTTGCCAAAAAAAGCACAGCTCAAATTAAATGAGAATGTGATGGGCATAAAAAAACAAGAGGGAAGTTTATCTTCACAGTTTCAATGGGCATTAATATCATAGCGGTGAACATTTGTGGCAGTATTCTGAGCAATGGAACGATCGACAAAGCAACAACGGGTAGGCGAGCTGTGATTAGCGTTGGGTGATGACGAGGTGTGATGATGAGCGTTGGCGAATGACTTTGGTGGAGGCAAGGTGAATTAAGTTTAGAATACTTTGTTGGCTTCCACACATGGCAAGACAGAACTTACACAGACGATAATTATCTGTAAACGATAATTATCTGTAAACAGCACAGTGCAGGTATAAAATTTTCTGTATTGTCACGCGTGAGGGCGTGAGTTGTGGGTTTTTAGCATTATGATTTATAGAATTATCAAAGGCACATTTTTATTAATTACTCCAAGGTAGTTTTTATTATACAATTTTAGTTTTTCTTAAATTTTATCAAAAGCAAACAAGAATATTTTTTGGGACAAATGAAATAAATATGAGAGTGTGAGATTTCATTTATAAAGTAAAAAAAGTTGAGATTCAAATAGGATTACATGATACTCTAATCTAATTGGGAACTTTACCGTTTTCTATTTACAAAATTGATAGTTTTTATTCTCAATTATCTAGTAAACTCTCCAATGTTGCTCGAATCAAGCTTTTCCCTAACTTCTTAAATTGCATACTTCAAAGTTAATTCACTTTAAGATAAAAAAGATTTAACTCTAATTATATGTTATTCATATGTTTTATTATGTACTATATCGTTAGATAAAATCTTTGCTCTATAAAGTATGAGTTAAAATCGGCTAGTAGTACAAAGTATTATTCCTCTGTCCATTAATTTCTTTTTTACTTTTTTGGATCATCCACAAATTTTTTTCTCATTTTTTATTTTGATAAAAAACTTTTACTCTCTCCGTCCCAAATTATAATGTCTGTTTACTATTTACAGGGTCAAACTTCATTCACTTTATATCTCTATTTTTTATCAATATTATTGTATTTATTCTATCATATTAACCCCTTGGTTTCCATGACATTGGGAACCGATGACCCGAGAGCGCTTCGGTGTCCTATTTGTAAAATTGACGGTTCCTACCCCCGGTAAACCCCCCGCCCCGACCCGAACACACCTCCCCAACCCCTTCATATTAAAGGTAAACATGGAAAGTTTTTACACTTTAAATTTCTTTTAATCTCCGTACCAAATCAAAATGAGAAAGAAATTGTTGGACAAAGAGAATATTTAAAAAATAATTGTAGTGATTTAAAAAGGCACCAAATAATTGCCTTTAATCTAAACAATGCAGCTACTAGATAACAATCATGCTAGAAGTATACCAAAAAATGTATCTTAAATTGTATACTAAAAAATTATACCGATATTTTAAATGTTCATGCTGACACAAAATACTAATTCAACAAAAAAATTACACTAATATTTCGTATCAATGTAAACTATTGCACTAACACAAAATGTTAATGCTTACTTCAAAATATAAATAGTACTCGTATACTCCCTCCGTCCCTAAATATTCACAACATTTGCTTTTTCAGCAGTCGCGGGAACTTTTGTTTATTTCGATGTTTTCATTGGTTATTTGATAAAATAAAATATTCTTGACACCTCTTATTTCGAAAAACTTTTCATGTAGTTTTTTTATATGTAAATTTTATTTTTTATTTCTAAACTAATATGTAAATAAAATGAATTGAAAAAACTTGATATTTTGCCTCGGGAATACAAATGTGGCAAATACAAATAACTTAATTCGCTATTAATTCACTAGATAATGAGCAGCAGTTGACCATGGTTGCCCGCACTGTCCAATAAAATGTCCGAAACAACCACCACGGAGTTCTGTACAATCCAGAGCACCGACGGAGTCATGCTCGATGCCCGGATTTTCCGACCAGCCGCCGCCGGGAACGACCAAAAGAGCGTCGGTAATGCGGCGGAGACAGTGGCGGTGATGGTGCATCCTTACTCAGTGCTAGGCGGTTGCCAGGGACTGATGAAGGGGATGGCGCGCGGCCTGGCGAGCCGAGGACTGACAGCCGTGACCTTCGACACGCGCGGAGCCGGCAGATCCACCGGCCGCGCCTCCCTCACCGGATCCGCGGAGGTCAACGACGTCGTCTCCGTCTGCAACTGGGCGGCGAAGAACCTCTCCGCGAGGCGCGTCGTGCTCGTAGGGTCCTCCGCGGGGGCCGCGATCGCCGGATCTGCGATCGACGCGGCGGAGGAGGTGGCGGGATACGTCAGCATAGGGTACCCCTTCGGATTCACGGCGTCGATTCTGTTGGGAGGGCACCAGAAGGCGATCGCGAAATCGCTAAAGCCGAAGCTGTTCGTGATGGGGACCAGAGACGGGTTCACCAGCGTGGGGCAGTTGGAGAAGAAGGTGAAGAAAATGGGGGGCGAAAAGAACGAAACGCATCTAATCGAAGGGGTCAGCCATTTCCAGATGGAAGGTCCCGGGTTTGATGCTCAAATGGTGAACTTGATTCTTCACTTCATCACCTCACTGTAATAAATCTTCTTCTTCTTCTTCAACCATTTGGGGTTCTTCATTTGAATGCTTCTCGATTGCAGGCCAAAATTATGTCAGTGTATACATTTTTTTTAAAAAAAAACCCCAAATTCCTAAAATCAAATGTATTGGTTAATTTTAGTTTCTTCTATTTTTTCCCTCCATTTGGCTTTCCTCGTTCATGGGTTACTTTTAGGGGGAATTGATTCAATGTTTCAAATGGGGTCTTGTTTCGATTAGCATTCACATTTTTAATAATCTTTTAATTTTACGGGTTAACTTTCAAAACGTCAAAAACTACAAGGTCGGACCGAGGTGAGGATGCAAGGAATTATTGATTTGGCAAACGGAGTACCGAAAAAGCTCCAAATGAACAAATGTCATCCGTTAACACTAAATGTCAGCGTCAACAAGATCTTGTATTACAAACTAATGTTAAAAAAGTACTCCGTAAAAAACAGATCTTTTTTTTAAATAAAAAAAAAGAAATCTTATTTGAGTAATTTATAAATACAAACCACAAACTAGTTTTCACATGATAAGCACCAAATTCATCAACAATCTGAGCAAATATATCCCACTCAAGTTCGATACACACGCGGGCGCGGAGTATATAGTTTATTTAATCTTTATTTATAGACAGCAAGCGGGAAACATCATCACTTGTTGAGAGTACACTACCATAGACATCAAAGCATTCTTTCTTAAGTTTTAGGCCTGCATATATGCAATGGAAGAAGGATGAATGATTAGCCAACTAATACAAATTCTTTCTCAGCAGTAAAAGATATTGGGATATAATTAACCAATAGGGTAAATACCAGAAAGTGAGCCTTGTAAAACGCAATGGTCTTTGGGATATCACATTTGGTAACTCTGTAAGCATCAATCTTCTCCAGCTCCTGCAGAAGAAAATGTGGGATTGTTTTCGTGCGTAGTGACAAAAAAGACTTGTGGTTTTGCTTCAATTTCCCAAGAGAAAGAAATGGAAGCTTGTGATCTTTGAAGGAGTAGAATGAAAAAATACAAAATAGTTGAGGAAGAACCACCAATGCTCATAAAAATGACCAAACCAAACAAGCCTAGTATATACACTCATAACAACAAACCCAATAAATTTCACAAAAATAGGGTCTGGACTCTGGAGAAGGTGTGTGTGTGTGTGTACATATACTTTATCCTACTTGGCAGTAGAAATGTTGATTCGGAATGTATATGCATAACAATAATAACACTAATAATAATATCATGAAATGAATTGAAATATACCTCAATCCACGCTGCTATGTTAGGCCTGCCCGTTGTAATGTCATACTTGAATACTTCTAGTATGAAGGGTCTCGCCCTTTCAATGAATGGAGCATATACAATGTCAACCTGATGAGCCAACACCATTCATAAATGCTAATAAGTAGTTTTCCTTTCTTTGAGAGCAAACAAGAAATCTGAGAGAATTGAAACTAATTTCACTGTTTAAAAATGGTAAAAATTCAGAGCAAAAAAAAAGGACAGTGGAAGTATCAATTTTGTTGTACTAGGAGATTACTATATCAAAACAACTAGGCTCTGATATTATTTCACGTTAACGTATATACCTGACTGAACTCTCCAAGGAAGAAAGGACCATCATATTTGCCAAGTGCTTTTTCTATATGGTCAAAGGCACCAGCTGAGAGAGTAACATTGCAACAAATAATAGTTAGTTACTTAAATACGCATCAAAGAGCCATTGAAAAGTCCCTTTAAAAAATAATACTTCCTCCGTCCTATAATGATCTTTCCGGTTCGCAAAACGAAGAAAAATCCCAAATTTTTTCAATCTATTTTATTTAAATATTGGTATAGAAATAAAAAATAAAACATACATATTTAAAAACTACATCAAAAGTTCAACAAAACAAGTGGTGACAAGAATATTTTATTTTATCATATAGGCCATGAAAAAACAAAAATAAATATAAATTCCTGTGAAGTTGGAATAGTGCTCTGGGAAGATCATTATAGGACGGAGGGAGTAATAATTAGTACCTGCATCGTTCTCGGGATTGCCCTTGAATGAACCAAAGACTGTCTTATTGAATGTGTCGCTGTAGGCTATCAACTCTTCTGCGAACTTCTGCTTCTCAGGGTCCTATAAGCAATTAACTTATACACATTATTTGAAATATTCAAAGTCTGAGAAGGCTGCCGCCTCTGCCTCCCCAACTCTTAGGGCATGCATATAGTGTAATGGGTGTATGACTGTATGTCTGTATGAGCATTAGATAAATCTGACAGTAAAATCCCATAAAAATATGATCTGATGAAAATATAAGAAGTCCCTGACTCAAAAAAGAAGTGGGGACAAAGAAACACAACATCACGAACGAAGTAAGCACAATAACTAACAAAAGAAGCTAGAAATTAGACACTAAGCACAAAAACTACGCAAAAGACCGCTACAAACCAGGGCATAAATACACTCCAACATAAACTTCAAAATGAAGTCCACATGCCTACTCAACTACTCTAATCTTATATCTCCATGCCTTAGAAATTAAAGTGTACCCATCCAGAAAAGTTTGAAATCTTACGTCAGGTAAAAGAGACAGGCCTTCGAAATTGCTGTCGACGTACTTAATCAAGTCCAAACTCTCTCCAATTACTCTGTTTTTGTGTTCTAAAGAAGGCACCTAATCAAAATTACAACAAGGGATTAGTTGCATAGAAACTCACAGCCAATAGTGAATGAAGTTTATGCTATGTCTAACAAGTTGAAGTGAAATAATGTAAATTAAAGTAAATAGAAGGCACTGAGAAAATGTGAAATTGACCAGTTCAGCTATAAAGTTTCTAAAACATTCTGAGGAGCTAGTATCATTAAACAATAAAGAGTTTACCTTGTTCTCAGGGTACACTTTTTCCTTGTACCAAGCAGGCCTATTTTGAAGATCAAGTGGTACCAACTTTATCTCCTTTTGCAAACCCTACAGTTATTCGCTAAAAAAAATACTGTGAAAAACACCAAAGGGAAAAGGCATAAATCTGGTCACACCAACCTTTGACACCATGTGTTTCACAAACAATAACTGTATGTGTGATCCACAACCCAATGATCCTTTGTGTGGGTCTCTGAAACGAATGGTGTCAAAGTTGGCGTGACTTCATAGTCCATATATACGGTAGAAAAAGGCTATTCCAACACTCAGTCTACGTAGTAGAACAAGGCTATATCAATAGCTATATTGTATCGTGTTCGTGAACTCGCAGAGGAGGAGGAGGATTGATTAAGGGCATGTCTATGGCTAATCCAATTCAAGATAGATTGACATTTTAAAACAGACAAACCTTGAAATTTCTGGTGATCCAAACTCGCTGAGCATAAGGGCACTGGTAATTGGTGTATAACCTGCAACAAAACATTTCAATTCGATTTCATATAAAAAAAATTAAAATTGAAAAACAAAACAACGAAATTACAGCAATACGGATATGGATCATTCCTATATACCTGGTGGTTCCATCGAAGAGGCGAGGCGGTTCGGATGTGGAATCCAGAGACGGAGGTAGATTCTCTGGAACCAGCCTGAGCAAAAAATTACTGCAACCAATGAATGAATTGAAACACAACAACTAACAAAGAGCATCGAAATTTGTGAAATTCATCGGGAATCAAAGCGAAAAAAAATATTCCAAGAGATTTGAGATTTGTGAGAACTGATTAAACAAGAACAATAATAATTAACGGAGTAGTAAAATGGATCTATAGTAAATTATGTGTGTATGATTGCAATTAAATAAGTACTAACAAAGCAGCCATTGCTCTGGAATTAGATTTGGGTTGAGAAATGGGGTTTCGAGTTTAGGTAATGACGATGGGGCAGTGAGATTAGTCACAACTCCACTCCAATTGCATGCCAGTGAGGTTTCATCCTTTCCGGAGCAATTAAAGAAACACGTGGGAAATGGGAATTCGATTAGCCACCCCCACTTACCCCCTAATATTCTCAAAATAGTACTTAAAATACATTTACATTACCATAATCATATACATTACCAAAAAATATAGTAATGTGCATATGTACAGTGCCACATTACAACCACATCTAATTTGATCTGATTGAATCTGATCTGATATAAATTTGATTAAAAAAGAAATTAAATTATGAAATAGTGATATTCATTTTTATAATAATACTTTTTCATAATTCTGTGTTTTTTATTTCTTCATTTATAACAAAAGTTTCGATTAATTAATACGCTACTCTCTTCACCACTAAATAAATTTCATATGAATATTTATTTATGATAAGTTAAAATAAAGATAGTTGTGAATATATTTCTTTCAATATTGATTTAAAATAAAAAAACAAACAACACATATTTTAAAAATTACATTAAACATTTTTTTAAAAAAGAGATGAATCGGTTATTAGAGCTGACAAATCGGTCGGTCATGTCGGGTTCGGGTTCGGTCACTTCGAGTTTGGGTTATTTTGGGTTCGGATTGAGAAATGTATGTTCATGACCCAATGTCATCGGGTTTGGGTCGACCCAACGGGTTATGACTTTGGTTTTATAAATTTTTAAATTCACATTAACACTTACATATTCTATTAAATAAATTTAAAACATCAAAAAATATGTATTAAATCTATTAGATTATTCTATTTTAAATCCTGAAAAAATTTTAGACATATAAATCAATATAAGGAATTTAAAAAATGCTTAAATTTTAGAAAAAAAGTAAGATAATTATGCAATATCATTAAAATTTTGTTTCAAAATATAAATTTATACATTAAAAATGAGTAGTCAAGTGTATGATTTTAAAAAACTATTACTTTAGCGGGTCGGTCAGGTCGGGTTCGGTCAAGTTTGACCCATTTTAGCGGGTCATTTCGGGTTCGGTCATCAAAACCTATGTTCAAAACCCAGTGTTTTCAGGTCAGGTTTCGGGTCTAAAACGGACCGAGTCATTTTTTGTCAGGTCTATCGGTTATAATACTGTTCAAGTAGAAAAAAAGTTACTATACACAATTTGGCAATTAATTATTTTAATTTTATGATTTTAGTTAATTAAAAGAAAATTTATGCCTTATAGGTTTAAATGCTTTATTATTTTAATATAAAAATATATTATTTTTAATTATCTTTTAGGATATGATAATTAATTAATTAACTTATATATGAACATATTGGAGAATATGATTTTTTTAAAGCTAAATATTATAATTTTAATAAAACATTAAATATAGTAATTTGCAATATAACTTTTTTATGTTCCAAATCTTTTAAATTTATAAAATATTAAATATGATAATTTGCGATATAAGTAGCCCTCCTTTTGGAATTTTTTACTTAAATTACTCAATTTTCAAGTCATATTAATGAATACAATTGATAGTCCTAAAATTTAATTACAAAATGTTCAAATATAATTGAATGAATGTATCATTACATCCAACACCCTCATTCAAGTTTAAATACATAAGTGTTCAAATATGATCAATATTGTGATTAAAAAAGACAAAATAAGTATTTAAACTCTATCTTTCAGTTTTTTAAGTATTGTTAATTGGTAGGAGCATCCAAATTTTTTATAACAATTGGAAACATGAAAAATTAACTTGACGAGAGATGGACGAGATCGGTTGGAGATGGAAGAGAAAGGAGAAAAAAGAATACTTCAACAAAAAAGGACATAAAAAGGTGTATATTTTACGATTATTATTTTATTTTAGCAATTCAACATACATCTATAAAATTTATAAATATCGTTCGTAGGTTTCTTAGAAATCATGGATAATTAAATTGTAAAATTGTTGTTTTAAAATTTTCATGCATCCATCTTTTTTACACACTATCCTAATTAATGCACACAAGTTTAGAAACTTTTTGTTAGTAATAACTAAATTAAAAAATTGTTTTAGTGACTATAATTTGTCCATGGTTTCTGAGGTAACAAAGAACATCAATAGACCGCTTGTAATATGTATGTGCCAATAAAAACATTAGATTTATACTACTTGAAAATACTTTTAGCGGCTTAACAGGGATGTATAAGCTATTAGAGCGTGAAGACAATTACAAACAATGTTGTACAAACAAAATCATTCGAGAATACATGGGAAACATTAGAGTTATTAGCCAATGATAAAAAATTTATTCCTAATATAAAAAGGACTGATGAGTTAAGATTTTGGAGTTAACTAAGAAAGTTGTTAGTCACATTATTAGTGACAAATACCATGAGTCGTCCCCAAGTTATTTGGTTAAAATCATGATAGCTCTTGGTTGATGGAATGTTATTTGATTGATGAAGAATATTGCATGGTGTATATACAAAACTTTAGAATTGATATATGGATTGAAATAATATAGTCATGTTTTAACCATTTTATGGAACTTGTTATTTTCACAAAAGTTCTAAAAAGTTTGTTTTTGATTGAGATTGAAAAGTTAATTAATTCAAATAGATAATTCTTATAAAAGTTTAGTAGTATGTCATTCTGATATGACAATCCACTTAATAGATTTTAAAATAATTTTTTTGTAGAGAAGTTGAATTATAATAAAGAAAAGTAGTCATATGATCCTAAACTATATATATATATATATATATATATATATATATATATATATATATATATATATATATAAAATCTTATGAAAGAAATAAAAATCAATTTGGTGCTTTAGATTGTGAGATCTAAGGGTCATGATTGCATCCAAATTAGGTGCACCAAAATGATTAAAAAATGCATCATGCCGAAGCGCACCAAAATCCTTTGAAAATGCCCTATCTCAAAATCTTAGCGCAGGATGTAATCTGAGCAGCACGATGCATCAGATCCAAAAGCTAGATTTTATTCTTATTTTTTACCAAGGTGCATTATCACGTGAACCAGTATATATATGTGTGTGTGTGTGTATGTGTGTGTGTGTGTATTAAAGAAAACCAGAGAAAGATATATGATGATAAATACTTTATGTTTTCCTAAGTTCATTAAGATAACATTGTTTCTCCCCGCAAAGAGAATAACAAGCACCCTATATGGTGAAGAGAACATGATCTTAGACCATATTCTCTTAACCTGATCTGATTGATTCTAATTTGATTGAAATAAATTCTTATCCGATCTGGTCTGATCTTAATGTAGGTACATTTTAAGTTATTTCTAATCTAATATAACTTCAATAAAAATAAGTAACAAGTAAAAAAAAGTTGAGGAGAACATGATCTTAAATGAAAGATGAGTCACTTCAGAACATTCATAAAAGGTTATGGATGTTTTACTAATTTGAAAATAAATAGCTAAGACCTAGTTATTTTTATGGCGTATAGCTTTTAAGTCAACTAATAAGTCACACAAAAACATATTATCAACTAATGTACTCCCTCCGTCCCAAAAAGATCTTCTTGTTTCATTTTTTGCGCATCTCATAAAACACTTCTATCGCGCCTTAAATGCAAAAAAATAAATCAAAACAACTTCTACCCACAATAAATGAGAAATGTGGTAAATTTTAGGCATTTAGATGCGTGTAGAAGTGTTTTATAAGATGCGCTAAAAATGAAACAAGATCTTTTTGGGACGGAGGGAGTATAAGTTTATAATAATTTATAAACAGTTTAGACAAGATTATAAGCGCGAGAAACACTCAATAAATAGCACTCGTAGGAGTACAAAGTACAAACCCAATTTAAGGGTCCGGGTATTCCAACATGGGTTTGGAACTACCGGTGCTATCCCCAGAGGTAGATATCCATTGATAACAGTTAATTAATTTATGAATAATTATGAATATCAATGATTAGAGACCATAAGATAAGTTCTCATTTTAACTTCTGAGGTCAAAATTTATATATTTCGACCATAATTTGCACTGCATACACACCAAGTTACAATATGAACATAGTAACAATATGAACATAGTAACAAATTATATTCTAATTTGTAACAGATTAGTATTCTAAAATGTCATTATAGAACATGTAACATTTATAATACAAAGTATTTTTTTTGTGTGCAAGTATGCATATCAATGGTCAAAGTATAGCATTAGAAACCATAAAAGTTTAAGCTGTAAACTCAATTGTGGGACAACAATGGTCTTTTGATACCTTTTATCAATATTTTTTTACAGGGTTTGAAGTAATTCATATTTATACTTTTTAGAGTAAAAAATGAAGCAAATACTAGAATATACTTACCCAGAGTTTGCCTTCTTTATGCCCGCCCATCCATTTCAACAATACCAAACATCATGCACATGAAAATAACAATATAATGCCCAAGTGTGTACCAAAAACACGGTCAAGGAAACAGACCATTCAATACAGGGATGGGAGCTGGAGAGAAACCTGGATCTCCTCAAGCATTTGAAACACGTATGTTATATCGGCCTCCCATAAACTCCTCAAGCATCGGAAACACGGATGTTATATCGGTCACCCAAGCGATGAGCGGTTTTGTCCGCAAAAATGTTGTCGATCAGCTCATACTTTTTGTAATTGGACTTCAATGCCTCTGCCTGCTGATCTGCAAGCTCCTTGTCCTCTTTCTCTAGACACTAAGTACGAATAAAATTAACAAATTCATTTATTAAAAAACGTTTCAGATTGTTTCTGTAAATAATACTCCCTCCCTCCCTAAATATTTGCCACATTTGTAATCCCGAGGTAAAATATCAAGTTTTTTCAATTCATTTTATTTATATATTGGTATAGAAATAAAAAATAAAATTTACATATCAAAAAACTACATGAAAATTTCTTCGAAATAAGAGGTGTCAAGAATATTTTATTTTATCAAATAACCAATGAAAATGTAGAAATAAACAAAAGTTCCCGCGACTGGTGAAAAAGCAAATGTTGTGAATATTTTGGGACGGAGGGAGTAACACATTTTGGAAAAGTATGTCTCCTTTAGGAAAGGGGTTCTCAAGATCTAGACTCAATGTTGAATACTTACTCCCAAATAATTCCCAGTAGCAGCAATATTCAATTTTTAAAAGATCTTTAAGAATGATATTGCTTAATTATATTGAAATATTACCGCTTTGAGATACTTGGCCTCGTCAGAATGTTTCCTGGTCAACTTTACAAGCTCCTCGGACACCTTAAAATTAGGATCATCGGGTTCCAACCAACGAACCAGTATTTTACCTTTCTTCCTTTTCGGACGGTCGTCAAACATCTCATTCTCTGCAGGAAGTGCCCTGACAGGTCTTGGCATCCCAGAAACCATAAAAGGGGAATTAGAGATGTCAGATATTATCCCTTCGGCCTGCTTAGCATTTTCCATTTCAATTAAAGCAGCCTGTGAATTTGCTGGTTCCAAGTAGTTGGGAATAAACTGAACACTGATGACATTCCCAAACTGGCCAAATGCAGACCTAAGAACCGACTCATTAACCAGGGGTGAGAGGTTGTCAATGTACACAGTCCGTTTTACTTTTGCTTCAAATGCAGAGAATGCTTCATCAGCTGAGGATTCCATCATTAACGAGCACACAATAATACAAACACAATCCTGAAGGAAAGCAAAGAAATGATATCAGAAACCCCAGACAACATAAAATTTTAGACAGAAAGAAATATAAAACACACATATATGCATATACACACATGTGTATCCACTGTACTCAATGGATTAGGGTAAGATTGTTTTACATCTTCCCCCATATGGTACATACTCCCAAACTGATTTCAGGTTCAAATTAGTAAATGTGAAAAATGAGATTTGTAAATGTTTAAAAAATGCTTAACCATGGTGATTGTATTTATATTTGCAAGGGTACAAGAGAATGGAAATAATGACAACTAATTACAACTCTTAAACAAATAAACACATGAAATCAAATAATGAATCAGGAATCTAATTTCTATCATTTGAAAAAAGTGCAATTTGAAAAATGAAGCTAACCGTTGTTATAGCAACTTCGCGTTATGAAAAAACACTGTCCCGCGAGTGTTTGGAACCAAATAATAAGTTTAAAAATATAGCTACAGTTGATGATATTCAAATTTTTATACCTTACTACATTGAAATCTTGTACAAATCTAAAACAAGATTCTTTTAATATGACAAGTGAAATACGATATAAGTAAATATTGATGCCGTTACGAAGGAGAGCACATATGAAACACATAAAAGTTTAATTCAACATTCCGATTACACGGATTGCCTAATTCTGCTTTTGAGAGTTATAGTCCTATCCATATGATTACTCTGCAGATAAACTCGGCCATTCGGTCCGATTTTGAATTTAAAATAAAATAGCAGAAAAATTAACCAGCAGAAACAAAACGAAGTGGGAGGACAGCTCAAACAAGCACAAACAGGATCAAAACTCTTGAAAAAAGAGAAGAAAATAATTAATTTCTTCGGCGACGGACTGCGAGGGCCTACCTTAAATTTCCGGCGATTGAACGGCGCAGGCGCCCTCGCTGCTTCAGTGCGTGGTGGGAAGAGTCACAGACTGCGGCTGCGTCCGAGAAGGAGCGGCGGAGTTGCGAGTGAGGCTCCGGCCGGCTGAGGATTGAGAGCGATTAGGGGTTTCGAAGTATGGGCGGATATGTGATTTAACTGGTAAAGTACACCAGGGTAGACAAGTTTATAGCTGTGTCTCTCACACTAATATAAAATTAAAATGTTAGTTTAATTAAAATGCTTTATATTGAATATAAATTATTACACTAATACTCCTTTCGTTCTACAAAACCCTTTCGGTTTTGGCTTTGGAAAAAAATAAGGAAAATGTAATTTTAGTTGATTTTCCAATTTTGCTCTTGATGTGATGGAAAAAAGTAAGATGAGATAGTTTAGTTATTAGTGAAAAAGTATGATGTGATAGGTAGAGTATGAAAAAGTAGGGGTAAAAGTTGTTTTTTAATAGAAAGTGGAAATGTTTTGTGGAAAGCAAAAAAACGCAAGAAAAAAAGTTTTGTGGAACGGGGAGACTATAAAATATTGATATATGTCATCAGAGTACAATATGGAATATCATTTTGGTGGATAAATATATTAATTCTTATATTTTACCAAAGTCAAATAAATTTGAGAGTATAAGGTGGAAGTGGCTCTGAGTCAAGTCATGGAAGGGAATATATTGCGAGTTTGAAAGCTTAATTCATTTGTCATAAAAACCTTGTCGTTTAAATTTATCATACAATAAATTTTAATCTGTATTTATTACTCCTTCCATTGCTAAAGAATTTCCTTCTTTAATCAACGTGGAAAATATCATGATTTTTAGAATTATTTTATTTTCAAATTTGTAAAAAAATAAAAAATTTATATTCAAAAAATTTATAAACAAGAAGTGACAATAATATTTTATTTTATTAAATGATCAACGAAAACATGCAAACAAATACCGAATAAGAGTTATCGAGATACCATAATACTACCTCCGTCCCAAATTATTTGGCACATTTGCTTTTTCAACAATCGCAGGAAATTTTGTTTATTTGTAGTTTTCATTGGTTATTTGATAAAATAAAATATTTTTGACACCTCTTATTTTGAAAAAAATTTTCATATAGTTTTTTGTTATGTAATTTTTATTTTTTATTTCTTTACCAATATGTAAATAAAATGAATTGAAAAAAACTTAATATTTTACCTCGGTATTAGAAATGTGACAAATAGTTTGGCAGTGTAGAATTCATACATGAAAACAGTGTAAAATTCATACATAAAAAGAGCTATACATTTTTTGGGCAGTGTGAAATTCATACATGAAAATAATCATACACTTTTTGACAGTGTAGAATTTATACATGGAATCACTGCCACATAAATCAATGGACATTACACTATAACATGAAATTAAGGAACACAATAATACAATTACACACTACCGTAAAATATAATAACATATATCCATTCTACACTGCCACATTAAAAACTCACATATAAAAATCACACTGCCCACTACACAATTACGAGTGAACAATCACATTGCCCAAAACAATCATATTTTTTGGCAGTGCATAATGAACATTTGATGTTTAATTAAAGGATAAAATTGGAATCACAAGTACGAAATATATAGCACTGCTATTTAAAGTATTTTAATGCTCTTAGAGTGCTATTTTGGTTTTTCTCCCTTAAAAAATGATTATTTTGCTTTTATGTAAATCCATCTTGGATAGATCCACCAAAGAATTTGCCTTAAACGAATCTTCATTCAGAGATGAAAGGTGTATTTATTTGAATACAAATTTCCATACAAATTTAAAATACTCCGTACATAATAATTAATGTTAAAATATGGATTAGGAGGGTATTAACAGGGGATTTTTACCAAGGATATTACCCTTGGGATGATAGGAGCAAACGACGAGAATACCCTTCTGTCCGTCACAGTAAACGTAACCGCTACACCCGACTTTCTCGGTACTGTGCCAGATCACGTTCGTGTAATGCCCACACTCACACCCTTCACGCTCCGGCTGACACGTGCACCGGTGGTGCTGGTGGTCGTAGAATCGCCGCTCGTCGAACCACGACGCCACCACGTCCCGGGGGCTCGATTCCTTGTACAACTGCCAGAACAGGTTCTCACCGTAGGGCCCACCGGAGTGGATGCGGTAGTCGCAGTCGCGCTTCCGCTTCATGGCGTACTCGTGGGCGAACTTGGTCAAGGTCGGGTCCCACGCTAGGGGCGGGGACCCGACCGTGGCGCGGAGGTCGTTGTGGGCCTCCACGAACTCGTGCTGGGCCCAGTTGTAGAGGGGGACGAAGGGGGGCTCCGGCAGGGGAATGTGGAGGCTCGGGAGGAGGTGGTGTTGGTTGTTGTGGGGGTGGTGGTCGCGGTGGTGAGGCTCGGCCGCCTTCACCGGATTCCTCCTCCTGAGCTGATCCCGGGGGATGGCATGCCTGATGAACGCCTCCGTCGTCGGTGCCGCGAACGGGTGTAGGAACGCAGCAAGGAGGAGGAGGAGGGCGGTGGCCGGAGGGTTTACCATGGGGGACATCTGAAATGGGATGTAAGAGATTGAAGGGGCCAAATATTATTGTTGATTTTGTTTGTTTTGGTATTATTATGAGTATGAAACTTTGTGAGTTTGATTATTTTGGGTGGGGTGAAAAGCAGTTGGTCATGTATGGAGAAACATGAGAGCTGCCTATAAAAAGGGAGAATGGCTTATTTATTGCTTTTTTTTTTATTTATCCATAAAGAAAAAAATACTACGCTAGTATTTAAGTATTTAGATTATTCTTTTATTTTAAGTATTTTCTCGTCCCTTAGAATTCTTAATAGAATCACTCCAAAGAATTCTTAAGAAAATTTTTATATTCTTATTTCCAAAATAAGAATTTGTATTGTGATATTGTATATTGATATTTCATAGTAATGGTTTTTGATAAATATATTGACATTACTATTATTATAATTGTTAACCCGGTGCTATAGAGTTATTATTATTATTGTTGTTATTGTTATTATTATTACTATTATTATTATCTATTATTATTACAATTATTAATAATTAATATAAATAACAAATAATAATAATATTATTTATTATTATTATTATAATAAATAACAATTAAAATAATAACAATTAATAATAATAATTCTAGTGTAGCACCGGCTTAATGACTTTAACAAAAAAGGTTAATAATAATGACAATAGCAATAATAATAATGATGATGATGATGATAATAACAATAGTAATAATTTCCCTTTAGCAACATCTTTATGATTAGAAAAAGATGATGATGATGATGATAATAATAATAACAATGAAAATAATAAGTATTCCATTGTAGCACCAACTTTATAATTCAAACAAAAAAGATACTCCGTAATAAAGATGATGATGATGATGATGATAATAATAATAATAATAATAATAAATTACGGAGTAATATAAATAATTATATAAAAGAAGGAAAAAAATGAGAGGGTGAGGGGTTGCAACAAATTGAAAGGAATTGGAAGAAGAGGAAGAAGAAAAAAGTAAAGAAGAATAAAAAGAATAAGAAAAAGAAAATGGAGAAGAAGGTCATAGTCTCAAAGAAGATGAGAAAAAGGAAGAGAAAGCTCAAGAAGCTGGTGGAGTAATTGGTGTGGGCAATAGATTGACGAAATGTCTCTTCAAAGCAATTTTTTAGAAATTTTAAGGTACCTCGGGAAATATATTTTGAAAATAATAAAACCTCTAAGATATAGTCACAAAATTGAAATTACTAGACAGTAATTTTTTGATTTTTTCTCTCTAAACATTTTTTACCTTCTCATTTTCTTTTTCTTTCATTTTTCTTTTCTAACCAAACAAAAAAAAACTTTTAACTTCTCATTTCCTTTTTCTTTCCCTCAAATTACTTGAACCAACCAAACATATGGTACGAGAATGTGGTGTTGAGAAATGGGAATGAGAGTAAAACAAGCACTCTTTAGTCTTTAGTATCAACTAAGAAAAAAATGAGTTTAGAATGTCTAAAACTTGAAGAAAAAAACACGTCCACAATAACACATCCATAGAAAGGTTGTGAGTACCACAAACCATTCCCAGACCAAAAAAAAAAAAGTGTCATTATCCCTTGAATTTACGATGATGATTAAACAAATAAAACATCTCAACCTCGCGATAATCTTCGTTAATCGTCCTCCTCGGCGTATCTCCTTTCATACTTCGGGCTCCGGCTGAGACTGCGGCTGCGGCTGCGGCCATTGGCATCCGGAGGGCTCTCATCATACTTCCTAGGAGCTGAGCCGCCGCCGCCGCCGCCTCTCGCTGGGCTGAGAGGGCTCAGACTTCTTCTCCCATCTGGAGGGCTCCTAGAGTACCCACCATCGTCTGGACTGGCTCTTGCCCTCTTTGAGGGAGGAGAAGGACTCTCTCCCCTGCTGCTGCCGCGGCCAGGGGGGCTGGTCTCAGCCGGAGGAGGGGACGAGTTGCGTTTCTGTGTTTTGGACGAAGGTCGAGGACTTCTGGTCTCAGATGGGCTCCGGGTTCTGCTCCTTGCTGGGCTTCTGCTCCTTGCCGGGCTTCGGCTGGGGGGCGACCTCCGCTCATACTCAACTTCCCTCCTCGCCACAGGTGATCTTGACCTTGACCGGCTGAGTAATGAAAATACTTGTCAATTAACGATTTTATGTTTTTTTATTAAAAAAATAACAAGTGAATTTAATTTGATGATTGAAGCAAACTTAAAGAGCCCATTTGCTATTTAAAAAAAACCATGTAACACAAGACTCCCAGTCCCAAAACTAGTCTTAATCAATACACACTATTCTCGGGTCAAACTTTTTCTTTTATTTAATTTAGTTAAAAAAATTTATAATAATACAATCCTGTATCTTCTTGTTTTATAGAGCATTTGATTTTTTTTAAACAAATTTTATTTGGAAATATTATTTAAATAGATTGAATTGGAAATGATTTCAACCAAGTCCCATTATCGGCAACAAGACTATAGTTAAATTTTAATCACTATAATTCATTTTATTTACAAAGGTAAAAGTATATAGCATACCTATAGCTGCGTCTTGGGCTATAACTTCGGCTATGCCTCCGACCATAGCGAGGAGACCGAGATCTATCCGGTGTTCTTGAGTAACTCCTTCCACGCCTACAGTCGGATGATCATAAATAAACAAGTGAAGGGCAGTCTAGCAAGATTCTTCAACAATGAATAAAAACAAGATGAGTGCGGATCCAAGAAAAGAAATACTTGAGCTTTTGAGGACTATTTGGACATTTCTTTTCAATGTGACCTCTTTCTCCGCACCTATAGCACTTATTCTTCCAGTCACCGGCTTTACAATCACGGGCCCAATGACCTTCAAGACCACAGTTGAAGCAGCGGCCGGAACCAGGAGGGGGACCACGTCCAAGATAATCTCGGGACCCGCCTGAACCCCGAGGTACCTGTATGACGTCAAGCATATAGGCATCAATGCAAGTCAAGAAAAGTTAAGCATGTTCCACTTCAGAGTCATACAAAGGAATTATTAATGTTATTTTTTAAAAAAAGGAAAAGAAACTTTTATACAATTAAAAAAAAATACATGTAAATGTAATGATATTCACAAGGAAAGAAGAAGTATTCAATGCACTGTACTTAATAAACTAGAGAAAAAGAAATACAAATTAACTACCTCGAAATATCATTGATCTGAAAAGACCAAAAATTAAATGATAAATAGAAATTACTTACTCCCTTTGCAAATTCAACGATGATACGGTGTCCATCCATTTCACATCCATCTAAATAATGTCTTGCATCATCGGCATCACGAGGATCGCTAAAATCCTGAAGATAGAAATTGTATTGCAAAGAAAACAAAGGGATACATATAATAGTCTAACTTGTCATGAACAAAACGGTAGACCACCAAAAACAAGAATAGATCCTCAGGGTAGGAAAAATTACGAAAAGGTAACATGCAAGAATAAACAAAGAGAAAAGATACATACAATAAAGGCATAGTCACGCTTCATGTCCACTTGGCGTACTCTGCGGAAATGGTTTCCAGAAACAATAAGGCCATCATCAATACTTAAGCACAGAAGACTGGGTGGCATTTGCCCATCAAGACGAACTACGGAACTAAACACCAGTTTGATTTGTTGCCAATTGCATAAAAACAGGCAAAGACTACACAAAGAATCAACAATCTCTCCTAAAACTCGGTGTGTGGTTTTCCATCAAGACCACCAAGGGCACCCTCTCAACATAGACCTTCAGGCCAAGCAAATGCCCCGGATTCCTTCAACAAGATCATTCAAGTTAAACTCGCATGCATCTGATGGGGACATTGTTCCTACTACATAACAAAAAACAGAAGTCCAAGCCAAAAACACCCTTTCCAACTTTCAAGGCAGCTCCAATTGACAAAAATGTTATGTGTCATTTGGAAAATATATTTGAGATCATGGAAAACACTCAAAACAGTAAAAGCAAGTAAGGTTGTGAGATAACACAATTGATGGAAGCTGAGTTGCAGAAACCATGGTACCTCAGCTCACTAAGATCAACACATGCTTGATTCAGACACAGCAACATTAGCATATCCCATTAACCCCCCTGCTAAAAAACCCCTATTTCTGACCAACATAAAAAGACTCCATCCTTGGTACTTGAAAATTTACATTATTGTTCAAAAAATAAAATTATGCTTAAAAATGCAAGGTTTTTGAAGGGGGATACTAATTCTGACAATTCACATGTTCATTTCAACAAACAAGTGAACCTAGGGACATTTTACTTGAACTAAATTTCTTAAAGTGAGAACCATAGTACAATGATAACCCAAAAACTACCTTAGTATCATAGGTATCTAGGTAAAAGCTGATATAGCAACTGCGTTCTCAGAGCAAAGAGTATACCTCCCATATTTCCCAAAAGTGTATTCCAAATCACGAGTACGGGTGCGAGAAGAAAGATGACCCACGTAGAGACGAGTAGTGCTACCATATCGATCATCATAGCGAGGCATCTTGACCCTGAAATGTAACTACCTTATGTAGCTATATATAAAGATGCAGTCTCTTTTTCACGTCCAAAACTGAAAAAATAGAAACAATAATGACTATTGATCAAATGATTCAAAGGTTAATAATTAATTTTATGTTTAAAAAAGATCTTAATCCATGCATGTCAATGAAATTAAAACTATTGATAAAAAATTGATTTCAAACAGAAACTGTGAAAAAAGAAAAACGCAAATTTCATACTACCTCCCCACAAAAATAAAGTTCCAAATTTCTTTTTTACTAGCAAGTAAATTGATCTGGAGTATTCGTTTTTTTCTAAAAGGGGAAAAAACGAGACCTTTACCGAAATAAATTTCATATTTGCTCTATCAAAGAGAGAATTAATACATATCTATAAGGTAATAAACCTAATCTAAACGGAGAAGACATTTTAATGTTACAGATACTGCTCTGATAATATAAAAATGACATTTTTTTTAATCTATAAACATTTGCAGCCTGATTGGTTTATTACAAAGAATAAATAGATAAAGAAACAAAATTCATCTGAAACCACAAAATAAGATATGCGAATTGGTGATTCTTTCCATCAAAACTTAGATAATGAAGATTTGGTCGAAGATCTACAGATTTGCGTTTCAGACTTGAATTTTTTATGATAGATCTGAAAATTCATCCACAATAAGAATAGCGCATAAATGTGTTCCACATCTGATACAATACTTTACTTTTGTTCGAGAATTTTTAGTAGCTCTGCAGCCGAAAAGAGAAGAAGAAGAAAGATTGAAGCACAGATCGTAAGGGATTGGTAAAATACCTTTGATTGATTGATGTGGAAGAAGGGCTAATCGTCGTCTACTACAAGGCCTAAGACTGTGTGGGAGCCTTATATACTCGTCATGTTTATTGCGTGTAGAAAGAATGACTGTTGGGCTTCTTTAAAAGTCCAAATGAAGCCCTGTTTGTTTTGTTACTAATCGGCCCACTCAATTAAAAATTAATGCTACTAATCGGCCCACTCTCATTTGAAAAATGTGCTATTTTCATTATTTTGCAATTTTTGACAATTAGAGGGATCGTTTTTCGACATCTTATATAGGCTCAGTTTGCTTGGTTGTAAAAATAGAGTTAGCGACTCTAAAGTTGAATGTTTGAAAGAGTTAGGAGTTGGAAAACTTTGAAAGTTAACTTTTCCAACCGTAAATAATAAATCCTGGAGTAGAAGATTGATATTTGAGTTGGAGAAAAAGTAAGTAATTTATAAAAAAATATAAAGTACATATTTAAAAACAATATTAAAATACATACAAAAAAATACTTACTCCATCCGTTTTAAAATTAACTTCTAGTTTGAATTTTTCACAATCTCTAATGAAACACTTGGACAATTGATATCCCTATTTATATGTAGAAATATATTACAAAAACAAACTATTTCAAAACTATGTTTCAAAATTTATACGAAATTATATCTAATTTGCGGTCAAAATTCAAAAAAATTGACCATAAAAGTCAAATTTAGAAGTTAATTTTAGAATAGAGTGAGAACATGTCTACTTTATTTTAATAAATGATCAATAGAAATGCATAAACAAAGGTTATCACAAGTTAAAATACTCCCCTCGTCTCAAAAACTGACTTCTTATTTCTGTTTTGGACGTCCCAAAAAAAGTATCTTCTTTCTCTTTTAGTAAACTTTGAATGTTTTACAATCTTTCTCCCTTTTGGATCACTATGAGGGCACTCGGTATACCCATCATGCCCATAGGCGTTATCTTCACTTTGACGCCTGGGGGCGTTAAACACCGCCCCCCTCCCCCGTTATTCGGGCGTTAAAACTCTTGCGTCATAGTTTTAACGCAATTTAAAGGCGTGATAACGCCTCTTTCTTCTTTTTTCTCCTTTTTTCCTCTTTTCTTCTTTATAAATTAAATTAATTTTTTTAAAATTCAACACAAATACAAATTTCTCTATCATCTTTTTTAAAAAAATTGTTATTCAACTATTTTTTTTGTTTTAATGAATGTAATTTTTTATTTAATGAATTTAATTTTTTTATTTAATGAATGTAATTTTTTATAAGGAATGTAATTTTTTATTTAATGAAAGTAAGTTTTATTTAATAAATGTAATTTTTTATAATGAATACAATTTTTTTAATGAACTATTCTCGTTTCAATTCTTTTAATTTTAGAAGATGTGTATTTAAAATGTAAAAAATGAAGGTTTGAAGCCTCAGTTTGAAGCCCCGGGGCTTCAAACCCATTTCTAGTGAAATTGTGAGTTAAGTTAAAGATGACGCGACAGAGAGAGAAGGTTTGAAGCCCCGATTTGAAACCCCGGGGCTTCAAACGTATTTCCAGTGCTCTGAGTTACACATGTCCATTTGAACTTTGTACAAAATCAAACCAAAAACCTTTTTTGGAACAAAAGAAATACTCTCCCGTCCCACATGGATCTTTACGTACACTATTTACATTATTAGACTTTATATACTTTATTTCTTTTTTTGTTACTCATTTGATAATAATCCATATAATCTTATAATGTCGCATCTAATGTTGTACTCCGTACATCTTTTGATGTAATTTTTGAATATATATTTTTACTTAATTTTACACCTACAATGAAATAAATAGATTAAAAAATAAAATTGATCAATGATCGTAACACAGACCGAAAAGATTCAAATGAGACGGAAGGAGTACACAGAGTAGAGTAAACAAGACGATAATTAGAGACAAGAACTATCATTCTCTTGTAGTCACTTCACTTCATCAAGTCGAGAATGAACCATTAGGCTTAAAAAGGTTCCGAAGGCTCAGCATGAATAAAATTTCTAATGGTGATCTTTTTAGGGATTCCAGAGTTCAAAAAATGTCCCATAAGAATCATTAAACCGGCATGCATAGAGTATTAACACTTCATGGATCAATTATGCAATGTTTGGCTCAAGAAATTTGTATTCCATATCATTTTAGTCTTCTCTCTCTCAAATTCCTTGAATCAAACACAATGTCAGTATTACACACTTCGAACACATGAAGCCCTTAGGCTGCAAAGTGTGAGAAAGTTTGCAGTAAGAAAGTGTTCACTCAGGTTTAAAAAGCCAAGTATGAAGAAAATTCAAAACAATAATGAAGAAGACAGTGAAGAAAGTGATAACAAAGTCAAATGATGAAGATTCATAAGATTGACATTCAAACAACTTCAACACAAACAATCTAAGCAAAACACAGCCAGCAATGCTACCAGCTATTCGGTAATAAGTCTGACTGAAAACTTTGGAAGTGACATCGCTTGAATTCACTAAATGTTATTATGCTGATGCAATGGCAATCCTTCCGGCAACCTGGTCAAGGTCTTGCTGCCCTTTGGATGTTATCCTCCTTCCTCTGAAACAATATAAAAAACTCAAATAAATAAAGCAATTCGAAACAAATTCGAAGCAAACAAAACAAAAACAACCCAGAAGTTGAATCTTTTTTAACGGTAGTCAAGAAACTAACATACCCTCTGGGGTCAATATCAACAATATTCAATTCCTTCAACTGTTGAAGAATGTGACGGGCAATGGCTCCACTGCTCTTGCAGAAATGACTCGGACGGCTTCCGTTTCTCTTGTTTCCTCCATAAATCCGCTGGAAGGCACCCACTCCGAGTCCACCACGCAGGTAAATCTTCCTAGCCATAGATGCTGCAAAAAATGGTGGTTTAGAAACATTCATACGATAGATATCGTCATTGGGATAAGATACAGATGTTAGTTATTACCAGCTCTGATGTAATACCAGTCAGGGTCATATGGAGGAAGCTCTTTCAGTTTCCCAGTTTTCACAATGTCAACCCACTCTGGCAGTTCCATCTAGAAGAACAAAAAGCATTAAAACAAGAACTAATCCATAAAATGCATACCAAATAACTAGAAATGTCACATAGCCATGGAGTACACGAATAGGCTAGGTTTAATGAGATCAATCCAGGACTGTCATTTTGAATCACAAACTGAGATCAGTCCAAGACCAAACTGTACAGGAATTGTCAAGATCCATACCCAAATAAAAATTAATTGGAATAGACAATTCAATCAAAAGCTACTTGGTAAAAACGATACTACAGTTCTTCATCAGGCCTAAAAGCTATGAATTAGCCATACAGCATTTCAAAATTGAGTGGTACTTCATAACAATTGTTCTACACATACAAAAATAAGCTCAAGATCAAATTCGTGCAATCAATTTCTACTCTTCAAAGTTCCGAAGAAGCTTTCCAAGTATCTAATCCATTGTAATGCGCGAATAAATAACAAGAAAAAAATTCTAAAAGCAATCCATTCTAATTGTTGTCAATCGGATTTAACTGAACAAAAAACAAAACAGGGAGATTTAGCTTCTGCCGATCGAGAGAGGTATCAGGAAAAACTTGTACCTTTCCAGAACGCTTTAGGTGAGCAGAGTAAGCCTTCACGAAGTCGTGAGGAGAAACGTCTTTCACAGTTCTCGCCGTCGCCATCTCCGATTAAGGTTTCTTCGCCGATAAGGAGATATTGAAACGCGCCGGCGGATCGGGAGAGAGGAACGGCTAATCGTCGTCTACAAGAAGCCCTAAGCCCGAGGAAGCATATGCACTGATGTTTATATCATATGGAAACTATGACTGTTAGGCTCTTTAGCAAAGCCCAACTGCTCAATCGGCCCATTCTCGTTTGTTAAGATTATATTTTTGCAAATTTTTATGTTTTCTTTCATTTTTTATTCAGTTAACCAAACTATAGTTTTATTAGACTCCATACATCATTATCAAAATTTTCAATTTCACTTTGCTCATGTTAAAAACTATTTTTGATTCATACTCCTTCCGTTTAAAAAAAATCGTTTTAGTTTGATTCATACCCCCTCCGTTTAAATTTAATATCAATAGTTTCATTTTGAAATATAATTTAAAGATACCAGATTTTTTACTCTATATATATATATATATAATTGTGAAAATGGATATCGTAAAAGTCAAATGAAAAGAAAATTTATGAACGAAAAGAGTAATATATTTAATCTATGTAAAAATGCAAGTAAGAATATAGATGTAAGACCCATATATTATTAGAAATGTTAGATATATTGAAATTGATCATGTTGACATTTTAATTCAAATTCAGACTAATAAAGATTCATTCTACGAAGTGAGACTTTGAACCCGTAAGACATGGGTCCGGCCCAAATGGATGTAGGAGTTGGCCCCAACAAACTTATCTCCTCAATTTATGCTAAAATCAACTTAATTAGTTGATAAATAGTTGGTCTTTCAACTTTTAAAAGTTCATAAATAGTTCTTCAACTTAATTAATTATGCATGATTGGTCTTTCAAATATCAAAAATTATAAGTAGTCCTTCAAGTACACGTCAGCCTCCCAGATGAGGTTCTTTTGACAGTAAACATTAAAAGCTAAATGGAATATTAGTTCTATATAATACAAGTAAATTCCATTAGATACGACTACTCCATATTATATGAAGCTAGTACTCCATTTAACTTTCAACGTTTACCTTTAAAAGAACCTCCTCTAGAAGACTGACATTTATTTGAAGGACTGCTTATGAACTTTTAATGAATTGCCTTGCCTAGCCATGTCAGCAAATGTCACTCAAATCATGGCATTCCATGGTCATTCCACCCCACTTTTCATTCCATGTGCAAGACATGACTCCCTTATTTTTTATTTTTTTTAATATTTTTAATTTTTGAAAAAAATATTTTTTTAAAGAAGTAGACATATTTTAATAATAAAATAAATGCGTAAAATATTTTTTGATAATTAAGAAAGTATAAAAATAGACAAAAACAATGACTTGCCACTGTATGTTACGATACTCCACTCATTTGCCACACGCAGGGCCGGCCTCGAAAAACGAAAAAATGAATTTGGACCGGTTCAAAATTTACATTTTGGCCCTATATTATTATTTTAGAATGATTATGTTTCAAAATTAATGATGAATTTAAAAATATGGGGCCTTAAAATTTTAAGGGCCTTGTGCGGTTGGCCACTTTGCACACCCTCCGGGCCAGCTATGGCCACACGGTGACTGGTTATTTTTTTATAGAAATCACCCTAAATAAGACTAAAACCTAGAGAAAAACACCAAAATAGAACTTTTTTCCCGAAATAGGATTTTGTACTGTGGTAATGTGGCAGTGTACATGTGCACATTACTATACTTTTTTGGTAATGTATATGATCATGTTTGGTAATGTAAGTCATATTTTGGGGAAAAAACATGGAAGTCCTATTTTAGAATATTTTCAATGTTTTTGTTCTACTTTGGTCTTTCTCCCTATTTTTTATTGGTTGAAATAGTTCATGTCACCGTGTGGCATTTCATTTTTACCTTGAACTTATATTGCTAATATTCTGAAAGACCAATCGTGCACAACTCATAAAGTTGAAGAACCAATAATGGAGTTTCCGTCAATTTATCATGATTATTTAGGTCCTCAATATCTTGATAATATCTATTTTGATAGTACAACATTGAGGTTAAAATTGTTGGAATAGCTCTTTACTACTTCCTTCGTTCTTAAAAACACTTCCTCTTTCATTTTTTTTCACTTCCAACAAAACACTTCCACTTTCTATTAAAAAAATACTTTTACACATACTTTTTCATACCCTACATATCACATCATACTTTTTCTCTAACAATCTACCCATCACATCTTACTTTACCCATCACATCAAGGACAAAATTGGAAGTTAACTATAATTTAATACTTCTTTATTTTTCCACTTTTTCAAAGTAGGAACTCTTTTTGAGAACGGAAGGAGTACGTTTTACTCTATATATATAAAAACTACTCCATCCCTCCCAAAATATTTACAATATTTGCTTTTTTAGCAGTCGCGGGAACTTTTTTTATTTCTATGATTTCATTGGTTATTTGATAAAAAAAATTCTTGACACCTCTTATTTCGAAGAACTTTTCATGTAGTTTTTTGATATGTAAATTTTATTTTATTTTTTTTTGAACCAAGCACAAATAAATCTTTATTCCAAACACAACAGTAATAACAATAGACTAACCCCATACAAACTAAACCAATCTAAAACCTCCAAAAAACCATCTAAATCCTTTTCCCTACCCTTTTACCCTCAAGTGATAAACCAACAATTTCACTAATACACCGAAATGTAAATTCCTCCTTGATTCTTTTGCCCTTATAAATCTTCTCGTTTCTAGCCTTCCAGATAAAATAGCAACATGTTGTAATGTATGCAGCCATGCGCCATTTCTGTTTCCTGCCTCTTCCCAGCTCCATCTTCTTCTCCAGTTCCTTAACGGAATCAGCCTGCAATTCAACATTAAGCACACTTGCCATATTCTCATGAATTGCTTTAGCATATGTACAAGAACAGAAAATGTGATCAGCAGATTCCATCTCTTTTTCACATAGCACACACGTGGTATCGATATGTAGGAATTTGCTAAGCCTATCCTTTGTTTGGATCCTCCCTTTCCATATGAGCCAGACAATAATTTGATGCTTGGGTACTGACCATCTGCTCCAGACCACCTCTGCCCAGTCCACTTTCATCCTGATTCCTTTAAGCCAGTTGTAGCCCTCCTTCACAGTGTAGCCATTGGCTGTGTTCATCCCCACAAAAAGCCTTCTATTTTGGATCAGTTTTTTCCAGTAGTAACAGTCATCATTCTTCACATTGCATTCCCAGATTGTTCCTTGCTTGAGGTATTTGCTGTGCACCCATCTAACCCACAGTGAGTCCTTCTTATTAGCAATATCCCATAAGAGTTTCATTGAGCAAGCTTGATTCCAGAATAGCAGATTTTTAAGCCCAAGCCCCCCCTCCTGTTTGGGAAGGCACACTTCCTCCCATTTGATTAAGGGGCATCTTCTGTGTACTGGACCAGAACTCCAAAGGAAATTTCTGCACAATGCCATTACCTTTCTCATGACTGAATTTGGCAGTACAAAGATCCTACTCCAAAAATTAGCAATACCATAGAGGACTGAGTTGATCAGCTTAGTTCTCCCTGCATAAGAAAGATGCTTAGTAGCCCAAGAAGTTATTTTCAGGGACATTTTTTCAACCAGTTTATCACATTCTTTCTCACTAATGCGAGAATCTGAGATAGGAGCTCCCAAATATCTGAATGGGAAGGATCCTAAGGACATATTTGTCTTATGCAGGATACTTTCCAGTATAGTATCAGAGACCCCACCCACATACACCTGGGACTTATCATAATTGAGTTGCAAACTTGTGGTTTGTTTGAAATGATTAAGGCCAGCTAGTACACAGTCAATAGAAGGGAGATCACCCCTACAAGCCACAATAAGGTCATCTGCAAAAACAATATTGATAAGTTTCAGATTCTTGCATCTAGGATGGAAACTGAAACTGCCCCTGTTAGAAAAGTAGCTGAAAGTTCTTGTTAGGTACTCCATAATAAGGGTAAATAAGAGGGGGGACATTGGGCCCCCTTGTCTTATTCCTTTCCCTCCTTTGAAAAATCCAAACACCTCACCATCAAGTAGTACTGAATAGGCTGCACTAGTAACACAGAACCTGATCCAGTCAATAAACTTATTAGGGAACTTCAAAGCATCCATAATCTGAAGCAAGCTCTTCCAGCTAACAGAGTCATATGCCTTCCTCAAATCCAATTTCATAATACACCTTGGACTGATTCCTTTCCTTTTATATCCTCTAACTAACTCTTGGCAAAGAAGGACAATTTCAATTTTATTTTTTATTTCTATACCAATATGTAAATAAAATTAATTGAAAAAAAACTTGATATTTTACCTCAAAAATATAAGTGTGGCAAATATTTAGAGACGGAGATAGTAATAGTTTTCGTATGTTACTAGTTACTCCCTCCGTCCCACTGTCTTTGTCCACTTACCTTTTGGCACATCATCCAATGCACTTCTTTAATCAATTTTATCTTGTAATTTGTATATTAAAAAATTATAGAAATTATATATTAATAATTTATATGTTAAGAAAAATCAAACAAGATCACACATGACTATATTTAGGCTTATACATTGAGAGAATTCGATGAGTCAAAGTGCTTAGATGAACAGTTCCAAAAGTCAAAAGTGGACAAAGACAGTGGGACGGAGGTAGTACTACCTAATTTCATTACCTAGGGGGTTAAAATTTAAAAACCATAAAGAAAAAGGAAAATGCTAGAGTCACAAACATATAGTTCACAAACTTTGCAAACTTACCTTTTCTGCATTTTAAATTAAAATATCTTTTATTATTTAAGTGCATTTTATTTCAAGGAAAGTGGTAGAAAGGCAAATTTGTAAATTTTGTGAATTGTTTGTTTGTGACTCTAGCATTACTCAAAGAAAAATGCCCAAGTCAAAACTTACAAGACCAAATCTCCATCCTACTCCCCACATAAAAAAAGTGAAATTTATATTAAATAGTATTAAAAAATATATTTTTTCTCAATGTAGTATCTATTTTTTTTATTTTTTAAATAGTACTTGAATAATGTTTAGTGGTGTGAACAATGTCTAGTGATGGTGGATATTTAGTTTGAACAGTGTCTAGTAGCGATGGATGTTTACTCGAACAATGATTAGTGGAGATTGAACAGTGCCATTACATTGGAAAATAAAAACATATTCCCTCCGTTCCACAAAACCCTTCCGGTTTTGACTTTGGGGAAAAATAAAGAATATGTAATTTTGGTTGACTTTCCAATTGGGTGATAGTTTGCTTATTAGTGATAAAGTATGATGTGATAGGTATGGTATGAAAAAGTAGATGTAAAAGTAGTTTTTTAATAGAAAATGGAAGTGTTTTGTGAAAAGCAAAAAAACGAAAGAGGAAGAATTTTGTGAAACGGAGAAAATAAAAGACTACATTTAGAAAGTCATTATATTTTGGTATTATTTAAGTAAATTCCTCTAAAAACAAATGGCTCTTTGGTGGCAGTGTGGAGTTTAAAAGCCATCAGAAAGTGCAAAGATTTAGGGATGGTGTGGTGGGAAAATCGGACAAATGCATGGGACATCACGTGATCCGATTAACTATTTCTTCAAAATTCTGAATTTGAATTGTATGGCGATAAGAATCTTTCTGCTCAGTGGATTATTGATTAAGAAAAGCCCCAAAAACAATTTGTGTCTATGAGAATCTAGAGTTCCATTTTTGAAAGGAAAGCATTTCCATAGCCTCATAGGTGAGATTAGTTCTTTATAATCTTTAAAATAAAAATTTTCAGTTAAGCATAATTATACTAATTTTCACCTGTTTGCTTCATGTTCAAACAAAGGGCTTTGGAATCTCAGAAAAGGTAACAAAAAATTTGGGTTCTTTATGTAGTATTTTTTTGTATATACTCACATTCTTGATTTGAGTTTTCTTTTGATCTATCTCTAAAAAAATCCATTCTTTTTTCATGTTAGTGAGAAGAGAATGAGGGAAGAAGATACAAAGAGGACCATAGATTGCCTGAGAGGGAGATTAGTAGCAGAAAGAGCTGCATCAAGAAATGCTAAAGAAGCAGCTCACCTAATGGGAAACAAGGTTTAATTCTCCCAATTTCTCTTTATATGGTTTGTTTTTGTTTGATTCGCTCATTGGACAGATAAAATCATACTAACAAAAGATTTGGAGTCCATGAAATTAACGAACATAATCTCATGTCTCCCTCTAAATCTCTAATTAATGTCAATCGTAAGATTGTTGATGGAGTCGGTATGTGTGTTTCATGTCTTTGTGTTCTTACTTAGTTCGTGCTATGTTGAGGAACCTAACCATGTGAAATAATATACTTGGGCTCAATTCAACCTCAAAAGTTAACTCAAAAAGTCGAGGAACCCAAACTATTAAATATAGCATAATATTGGTATGTTTAGCCAATGTGGGATGAGACAACTCAACACCTAGGTGTCACGATTTCGAACCTCACCCCCATACCTAATTTTTAAAATATTAATGTGTGTTAGAATATAAATATCTTTCTTGGACCTACAACCACAAGCTTGAACTTTTGGTTGAGTGAGTTCGTTCCTTGACATTGTGTCACTCTCTAGAACCTACTTTTTGTGATATTTTAATGAGTTTGTTGTTGTTTTAGGTCTTTTTGGATTGAAATTTGTAGTTTTTCTTGAATTTTTGGAAGAGAAAAAGCATACTCCTGGAATAAAGTTCACAAGATGATTTTTTTTCTTGGGATTTTGAAAGAAAACAGTTAATGGAGCTGGAGGCAATGTTGAAAGAGGAGACTGAATTGAGAAACCGAGCCGAAAAGAGATTTAAACATGTGATGAAGAAGCTTGAGTCCATCAACATTTCACTCACATTGCATGAATCAGAGAGCTGGAGTTTGACAGAGGGCAGTGAAGATTCATCTGCTTCTTCATACACAGCCTGTTCTACCTCTAAAGACTTGAAACATACAATGCTCGAAACCCAACAGGCCATGTGTTCTTCATCTTCTTCTGTTGGTGATTCTCAAGAAACAATGGGAAATGGTAAAACAGAACAAAATGGGCACCTTGAATTCATTAAAAAGAAGGATCTTCGTGTGAAGGATGATGGCAACAGGTAAGCTCTATGACATGCAAATAAGCTTTCTCCTTAACAATGTGTATGCTCCAGAAGTGAAGAACAAATAGCCCGCGCTAAACAAAAGACTAGTATATAAAATACGAGTCCAGTAGCCAATTGGTTTTGTGTTGGAATCTCATAATTCTACATTGTTTGTACAGATATATATAGTTCTTGACGAACTTTAAATCTGACATTGAGTTCTTAATGCATTTTTTCTAACATTTAAGCATGGGAAAACTGTTAGAAGAGCAGGCTGCAGACAGTGAAGAGAAAGCCGATAACTCATTGGCATTTCTAGCACCAGTTTGTTCACCGAATCGAAGCCAAACCATCGATCCCGCAGTTGTTCTTCACGCAAATGTAAGTGTTTGTTTGGCAACAACTTCAGCGTTTTGAAAAAAAGGCTATCTAAATGCGACACATTAAAAAATTATATAAAATGCTGGCACTGATTGAAAACATTGTTTCCAAACAGAACCTGAGAGATGTTCTTGATTCTCTAAGGCATGCCAGAGAGAAACTTCAAAATCAGATGGAGAGAAGACACTTGATTAGAGTCACATATCTGCCAAAAAAGGTCATATCTCATGGTTTGTCCTTACACTGTGGCATTATAAGAGGTTAGAGGGCAGTTTGGACATTTGCTTTTATACTGGTCTACTTGTTTAGCCTCTTTTGTTCATCATCATCATAATGATAGTAATAATAAACTTTGGCCTCTTCTGCTAGTTAATCAAAGTGTCTTAGTTCAGGTTTCTTATTCTTATCTTTCATTGAATCAATAAAAATTGTGTCAATTGCCCCTTTATGAATTAGGATTTGGTTTATGGTTTTTTTTAATTTCAATCTTTGGTGATTATGGGTATATTTTATGGGAGTTGTTATATCCACGTTCATTTTAGCTAAATCCACTTATTTTATATTAAATGGACAACATGTCCTAAAATATACAAAGAATGGATTTTAATTGCAAGCCAACTTTTGAAGACAAAGTTGTCCATTTAACATAAAAAAGAGTGGATTCAACAAAAATTATGTGAATTTAGCAAAACCCTATTCTTAGATACTCATACTTCGTAGTAATTTATCACTTAACAAGTACAAAGAGAATGTGATAAGAAACGATTTATCTTAAAAGGATGTACAACGTACAAACAAAACTTCGTATATTTTTGCGCAATGGAGAGTTTTATCCCAAAGTTTAGGGCTTTGTTTGTTAACGGCATTTGTGGTTGCTGTTTTTAATAATTTTTTAATGTTTGATGTTCACATGGAAAACATTGTCTCAACTAAAATAACTAAATTTTGGTTTGGTGGGGGGGGAGGGGATAATAATGGATTGAACAAGTGAAGAGGGTTGGTTGATGGGGAGTACTTGTTTGTTTGTTTATTTATACACTTTCAAATGCAGAAATGTGTCACCATCAGTGACTTATTGTTCAACTTTCAACAACTATGCCATTGCACATCACACATTGTAAGAGATGAACTCTCCTCTATTTTTTTTAAATATTAAAAATCTATCACGGTTGACACCACGATTCAGGATTGGATTCACTCTACAATCAAGCAATGCGGCAATTGCTCTCAATAAAAAGAAATACGAGTATTTAAGTAGAAAAACAAATTATTTATACCTAAAATAAAAGAATATAAAATTACTAGAAGATAATTTGAAAGTAAAAATTACAAAAAAAAAGAAAAATTATAGTGTTTTTTTGACTTTTTCATTAATTATTTGAATGTTTAATTGAGATAAAATATTTTTTTGTAATTTTACATTGATTTTTTTTTTTTAAAAATAAAGTGCCCCAAAGCCTGTACTATTAGGCTCTTGCCCCGGTCTCTCTAAGCTTGTGTTTGGATGAGGTGAAATTGAATGGAAAGAAAACTATAGGAGAGAAAACACAATTTCCAAAAAAAATTCACTTGTTTGTTTGTAAGAGAAAATGGGGAGGGAGTGGAAAATGACTAATGGGGGAAACAAAAAAGTTCTCTCCTCAAGAGGTGAGAAAATCTTCCAATGGAGAGAAAACTCAACACATGACATTTTTGTCCTTCATTGCATTCTATTGTGAAAAGTTATAATAAGGGTAAAAGTGTCTTTTTGCTTTATTACATTTTCTTTCCTCTTACTTTTTCTCTTCATTTTTTACTCATCCAAACAACATTCACTTTCTTTATATTTTCTCTCCATTTTCTCTTCTCTCTATTTTCTTTCCACCTATTTTCTCCCCTTCCATATTCTCTTTTTATCCAAACAATGCATAAATATTGGGTCAACAATTGCCGCGATTGACAACTGTCTCGAATTTGTACACACAAGCGATAACCATCACAAATATGTGAGTTCACATATGGTTGATCTGTATGTGTACAAATTTACATACGATTGTCATCGGTAATGTCACAAACTTGGACTTATTGGGAAATTGAGACGACTTAAAATTTGATGTTGAATAATACCAGCCTACAAAAACAATTATAAGCTTACCAAAAAAGTTAATTTCAAGTGTAGTCAACTTATAGAACACTGATGGATGTTTTCAATGGACATGCAATGCTTTGGTGAACGTATTGTGAAAAGATTTTGAACAAAGAGTATTTTTTTTTATGTAACAACACCCGTTCAGTTTAGGTCCCTGGGATGCTCCGTTCCAAAATTGGATAATTCATAGTGTGTCAATTCAATGGCGGATCCAAGAATTAGAGAGATTGGGGGCAAGAGGAGTTTCAGGTTTGGGGGCGTTGCCTCTATTTTTTTGAAAATCAATGTATAACCAAAAAACAAAAGTGCTAGAAACCCACCATCGATACCTCCATGGATGACAATCACAGATGATTTGTACATACATACATACATACATACATATATATATACACACACACACACACGATAATCGTCTTTGAGTACAAATGATTATTCTCTTTGTATGTATTAAATCACTTATGATCTGTGGGGGCAACTGTGGTGGGTTCTTTGCAAATTCCTTACAAAATTATTAAGGTGGGTTCTTTGCAAATTCCTTACAAAATTATTTAATTTTGTCTCAATTAAGCATTCAAATGCCTAATGAAAAAGCCTAAAAGATACTTCCTATAGTTTTACTTTCTTTTGTAATTTTTACTTTAGAATTGTCTTTTAGTATTTTAAATATTTCACTAAAATTCTTTTATTTTAACTTTCAATATTTGTTTTTCTACTTGAAGATTTCTTTTCATTGTGGGAAAATTATTTATTTTAATTTAATGGAGGCATAATTAATTTTTTTTGGATAATTTTATTGTATGAATTGAATAAAACAAAAATTTCATTGGTGGCAAGTGCTCCCATTAACAAGAGAGTGCATCTGCCCATATACCTCTCGCTGTAAACTCCCCACCTCTAACTCAACTCAAACCCTTCCTCCACATGTTCAATTCTATTTTCAAAGTTTAGATGATAAGAATTATTAATTTTTTAACAAAACAACGCACAAGTTTTACAAAGTGTCATATTATGACACCTAAGTTGGGTGTCAATAAAACCTACTCAAAGTACTTGAATTCGCAAAATTTATTTTTATCTAAAAATCAATTTAACTAATTTATATCTAAAATTTGGCATTTAAAAACTAGATGAAAAAATAAAAATACAATTTAATGTATTTTTATTAGCTAAAAATATATAATAATAATAATATTATTATTATTATAGTTGATAACCAGTTTTCGAAACATTATAGTCCGTATTTGCAAATGGAAAACCCACAATGCACAAACAAGTGAAACAACAATTTAAATTCTTGCAAATGCATGCCAATAAATGACAAAACAATTAGAAAGACAAAGCAAGTACAGTAACAAACATTTTATTATAAGCCCATATGTCCATGCTACACACATGATAGAGTGATCCATGGTTCGTGGCACCATTAAAGTAATCGTGGCATTTATTTAAGAATAAATGTATGGGTATATAAAACTGGAGTACCCTATATTTGTACACCAAACACATACAGACACTTAGGGGCTGTTTGTTTCAGCCTCTTAATGGTTCAGATGTCTGAATGATTCAGCACTTAATGGTTCAGACTGTTTGTTTCAGCCTCTTAATGGTTCAGATGTCTGAATGGTTAAGAGATTTGCCTCTGAATGGTTAAGTATTATACAGAGTCTGAATGGTTAAGAAATCTTATCTGAATTGATCAGACATTTGCCTCTGAATAGTTAAACAATATACTAGCTCTTAATGGTTCAGACCTTTTACTGGTTCAGCACTTAATGGTTCAGACCTCTTACTGTTTCAGCACTTACCCATCCAGAAGTTACCAAACAGCCCCTTAGTGTTTGTGAACCTACGCCGCCGGCCAGCAGAGTTCCGTCGCGGATCGCCGATGATTAACTCATTATGACCGCACCGACATATTATACTGTCATCACTTTTCCATTACACTGCCAACACATACTCTTACACTATACTATCATTATAATCTTATTTTGGTCTTAAAAGACTAATGACTCCTATTTTGATATTTTTGTATTTTTTTTACCCATATCGAGGAAGATTTTTTTTGATTCATTGTGCATTATTATATTAAAAATAATATGAACATATACTACATTGTAATAGAATTAGTGACAGTAACAACAAACAAGACTTAAGTTTTCTTAAATGATCGAACAAGTACAAATAATTATGCATTTAATTTGTATCATACTATAAACTATGTTTATACAAAAGCATTCAACCTGATATATTTGTTCGAACAAATCAACAAATCTGTGTAAAGGGTATTCGAATATTAATTATGAGTATTCGAATAGCCAAGGGTCGCAATTCTTTTAAGAATAAGTACACCAAAATGAAAGTATCTTATTTGTACACTAAGTAAACACAGATAATTAGTGTTTGTGTTTGCCTGGTGTAAAAATGGGGTAACCTATTTTGGTGTACCCCTAGCACGGCTCTTCTTTTAGAGTTGGTTCTAGAAATGAATATTTGAAGTTTTTGAACATTCCCTCGTCTCGGTGTCCTTCTATAGTTTAACTTTTTTGAGTCAAATTGAATGAATTTTAGTCATCCATTACTTTTAATTTGTTTTACATATTAATACAATAAATTAAAAATTTAAAAGTTCTACACAAGATAGATCAAATGAAATAATTTTTATACTACTGATGGTGTAAATTACCTAATCGGGTAAACGGTACTAGACCGGGTCTAGGATTGTTTATTAGATTCGTAAAAGCGAAAAGGTAAAACACTCAAAATGAATGGGAGAACTGTAGGTGGAAACACCTGTAGCCAAATTAATATTATAAAAGAGAGTGCACGGGAGCTTTTACATTGGAGTTTTAGAGAGAAGAAATCGGATCCCTTCCTTCGAAGGTTACATCAGTATTTATACTAAGTTAAAGGGGACAAAGCATCGTGCACCCACGTCAGTGCACGTTATTGGGATGGTGCGAGGTGATTGCCTCTGTCCTATAGCGGTATTGTCGCCTAGTGAGGAAGATTGTTCCTTCGTCATGTAACACTTTGGATGGATTGTTCAAGCATCTCTAGCGATCTTCCGCAGATCTTGGTCTCTACGGTCCAAGCCCCTTTGGACTCTTCTCTGCCGACACTTTACAACCTTAGAAATCATACCGGATGACTTCTGAAGGATGAGCTTTCCGAAACGAGTGGTAAACGGGGTAATAAAGTAGTTTGCTATCCGAAGTATACCGGCCAACTTTTAAGTCAACCACGCATCCTTTTACTGACGATTTAGATCTCCCATCCTGGAAAATCAACTACGACCGGTCTAGTATTTGAGCGTCTTCTTTGACCGGTTCTGGGTGGAATACACCCATCAACTACAATACATTACCATTTGTATTTAATTAAGGTCCAAAATTTGTCCATTTTGGCCAAATGTGATCGGTCGCTTTCTTCTGGTAAGTTACTGGTCATTTTTCGTCATCTCCAAAACGTTATTTTGAGATGTTTTCATTCATGACCAGTTAACTTTGTGACCAGTACCCAAACTGGTTTAAGTATAAGATATATCGGGGTATATGCATGGTGAAATTCTAGAGTTACCAACAAAAATGTGAGAAAATACCTTACTTTGGAATCCGTATAAATAGCCTAAAATTGTGGTCTACTGTTAATCAAAAGAAGTCTTAACTCTCACGAGTAAATTTTAACCAAGCAATCTAAACTTAGAAAACTTAATCCACAGCCTCAAACTCACCACATATCCTTCCCCAAAACACCCAACAAACAATGATCTCATCAGAGTCACTGAAACTGAGGGAAATTAGGTCTCAGTAATTTATATTTATACAGGAACAGCAAGCAACCCACAGAAACAGACAAACCATTTTTGTCTGGAGAAGACCGAGTTCGACTATTAGTTTTCTTGTCAGCCCATTCCTTTTTTCCCTCTGTCTTGTTTTCATTTGCTTCTCGTCGCCCATCAAAATCTGAGGTGTTTCTGACGCGCCCTTCCAGAGATGATCTCACCTCATCATCAAGAAATTCCAAACCCAAGTATTGATCTTTAATTTCTTACCCATAAAAAAAAAATTATAATTTTTTTTCCTTGAATGATTCGTTCTGATCAGAAACAAACTCTGTCACCATCCAATCTTTTATGGGGTGTTACAGCTAATGCTGTTGCTGGAAACTGATACACCCATCAATGGAAGGTCCACAGGAAATGAACCCAGGTTCAAGGTATGCCCATACCAGATCCCCCCCATATTCTCTGAACTAGCATAAACACGAGTGCTTCCTTGTCCTGTGAGGATCTGCATCTTTGATCACTGCCCATACCCTTTTGGTCTTTTTGTAGTCCTGTATGCACATTAATGGTGTCTACCTCTGTTTCTTGTGCTTCTGCTCAGTATATAGTATTGGGAATTGGCTGTCTAGGGTTTGAGCATGACCAGAAGAAACTTCATCTCAGGCTGGGATTGATGTCTCTGTTTCCTGGCTCTTTTGGGTAAAAAAAATATGATCTTTTGTTGTCTTGAGGTATCATAATCAGTGTTAGGAGATCGATATTCGTTATTCGATTTTGGGTTCGAAGAAAAGAAAGAGAAGGAAAGAAAATGGTGAAACCTTGCTGGAAAGCTTCTGCAGTGGGAGATGGAGATGGGGATGGAAAGGTTGATGGACTGATGTGGTACAAGGATTTGGGGACTCATGTGAATGGGGAGTTCTCCATGGCTGTTATACAAGCCAATGCTTTGTTGGAGGATCAAAGCCAGCTCGAATCCGGACCCTTGAGTTCTATTGNAGAAGGAAAGAAAATGGTGAAACCTTGCTGGAAAGCTTCTGCAGTGGGAGATGGAGATGGGGATGGAAAGGTTGATGGACTGATGTGGTACAAGGATTTGGGGACTCATGTGAATGGGGAGTTCTCCATGGCTGTTATACAAGCCAATGCTTTGTTGGAGGATCAAAGCCAGCTCGAATCCGGACCCTTGAGTTCTATTGATTCCGGCCCTGAAGGAACATTTGTTGGTGTCTATGATGGCCATGGAGGACCTGAGACGTCCCGGTTCATTAAAGACACCTTGTTCTCCAAGCTCAAGAGTATGCCCCTCTTCCCTAATTTGTGAATATTTCCTTACTATATATGTTAATTCCCCGCTTTGCAACACCTTCAGCCTTTACCTTTAGTGTTTTGAAAAATCTATCTAATGACACCGTTTAGCTTTATCGTTTTCAGAGTTCCCAAACAAGGCCTTAATCGTTTCACACCAAATGTATATACGCATACAAACCAAAGTATTAGATTTTCTTTAGTAGCTTTTGTTTTAGCGCAAGACTCTTGATTGTTGATTACGTTAAGCCATTACACTTCGAGCATATATAAGAATACAAACGTATAAGGTCTTAGAGAACTAAGCAAAACCATACAATCTTCTCACATAAAACATTGGTGTTCATAGGATCTGCTTCTGAGAATCAAGAGATGTCTGCAGACACCATAAAAAAGGCTTTCTTGGCAACTGAAGAAGACTTCTTGTCTATTGTGAAGCGAGATTGGCACTATAAGCCACAAATTGCGTCAGTGGGATCGTGTTGTTTAGTGGGAGTGATATATGATGGGCTTCTTTACGTTGCAAATGCGGGAGACTCTCGCGTGGTCTTAGGGAGAGCAGATAGGGCGGTGAGAGGAGTCACCGCTGTACAATTGTCAACAGAACACAATGCCAATATTCAATCTGTGAGAGATGAGCTTCAATCATTGCATCCCCATGATTCGCAGATTGTGGTTCTAAAGCACAAGGTTTGGCGCGTCAAGGGTCTTATACAGGTAAAAAATACCTCCTTCCTTGATTATGATCCATTTCTGCCAAAAACAAACTCTTGCTGAATGGGCTCTTAGTTTACTGTCTACTTGTAATAGGCTATCATGAAGTGGCTAAATGAAAAGTTTTATCCATCATTGTTTCTCAGGTTTCAAGATCCATTGGCGATGCTTACCTTAAGAAGGCAGAATTCAACCGAGAACCGTTATTGGCAAAGTTCAGACTCTCGGAACCGTTCTCTAGCCCGATCCTCAGCCCAGAACCATCCATTTGTGTACACAAACTTAGTCCCAAGGATCAATTCCTTATATTTGCTTCGGATGGTCTATGGGAGCACCTTAGCAACCAAGAAGCAGTTGACATTGTTTGCAATTCCCCACGTAATGTAAGTTCTAGAAGTCCGTTTGGCACTTTGAGCTTAAATACTAGTAGTATTTCAAATATAGCTCTAACAGTGAGCAGAAGAAAAGAGATAAACAAAATTGCATTTCAAATATCAATGAAAGAACAATGAAGTTATTTTGGTACAAGAATAGGGTCAAAGCAGAACTTGTGAACATTACTAACACACCATTGCCTTCCCATTATTAACACAGGGAATTGCAAGAAGGCTCATCAAGGCGGCGCTCTGCGTGGCAGCCAAGAAAAGGGAGATGAGATACTCGGACCTGAAGAAGATCGAAAGAGGGGTGAGGAGGCACTTTCACGACGACATCACGGCGGTGGTCGTGTTCTTGGATCCGGTTTCGATCAATAGAAGGCCCTCACACAGTCCAACCCTTTCGGTGAAATCAGGTGCAGGCATCCCCCACCATCATCCAACACACTACTAGTCTTCTTCTTCAGCTTCAGTGGTAGTAGTATGCCCAGATTTAGTGACATGTGTAACACAAACTGAGAAGAGTATGTTGTTTGCAGCTCGATCAACTCAGTGCATAAGCATAAAGAAATAATTTGTTTATTTTTTTTCTTTTACTCAAAATTTATTTATTTATTTGGATCTGAGTGGAAAAATCTTATATACTACCTCAGTACCTCGTCTGCATTTAACTCTATACTTTTATTTTTTGTTTGGCAAATGTTGTGAATGAATATTGAAAAAACAAGGATTAGAATTTAAAACAAACACACCCAGTGTCTAATATATATGAAACCCAAACCTCTCCCCCACGGTTCCGAGCAGTTCTAGTTCCCAAACAATTCATGTTGCAATCTGGTTTCGGTTCCCTCGAACTGTGTCCACCCAACCAACCACCCCTAGTACCAAACGAAACCTTGGATGCTAATGACACCGTACAACCCCCTCCCTTAGCTTCTCCTCCATTTTTTCTTGTGGTCGTTTCCTGCAGTTGTTGAATCTCTGTCCACTGTGGGGGTGGTGTTGCCGTTGAACTCCTTAGCTCTACAACCGTCTCTAAATACCTCACGAGGGTTCCCATGATCCGTCGCATCGTGGCAGCGATCATACGTAACATAGCGTGAAGGAGTACTCTTAGTTCTTATATATCATTAATTTGATTTGATGTAAGATTGTGACACCAACTTAATTGCTTTTGACACCACTCCCCTAGCTAGTTTTTTCCTCAAACTCAAAGGAAGAAAGACTACTTATTACTGTAGCATTTGTGCATGGTGTTGGCTCATCAGGTTGACATTGTATATGCTCCATTCATTTTGAAAGGGTGAGATCCTTCATACTGCATAAAACGGTCAAGAGTATCCCACCCAATTGTCGATTAGCCTTCGTGCAGGTGTTGTACGTCCTCGATACTGCGTAAAGTTGCTGCAGCACTGGGTTCTGTAGATGCGTGGATCAAGCTTCCCGTTTTACGTACCTCATTGCATGCTTCGGGTTGTTAGACCTTCTTGTCGCCAGGAACGTAGGTCGGGGAATCACAAGTCCCTCCAATGCAGCAGCATCAATCGAACCCTTGCTAGTTGGGAAGATGGTTCTGGTTTCAGTGATTTGGTTTCTTCCCTTATGGATTCACCTAGGGTGGAGTCAAGTTCTGGGAAAGAGGCTAGGGATGGGGATTCTGCTATAAGCTCTAATGTTAGGGGCGTGAGTAGTCCTCTTCTTGTTCCTTTCATAACCTCATTGCCCCCTGATTTACCGTCACTCTTGCTCTCCAAGCCTGCTTTGGTGGTTGACAAAGACTGTGTGTTGCGCTGCACCAAGTCCTTCCCGAAAGAGACGTCTTTCGGGAGAGATGGGCTTCGAATAAGTACATTTTGTTCTTATTATTTTACTCATGTTTAAATGATTCTATGTGTAAATAAATTTAATCTTGGATAAAAATAATAATTTTCTTTAGCGAATATCACACAGTTTTCATGTTGTTTATAAAATAATCGTATCATACTCCCTCCGTCCTGTTTTAAATCGCATGTTTTGACTTTTGGGCATATTTAAGGAAAAGAAAAAATAGAGTTGATTTTCCGAAATTGTCATTACTTTTTATGAGGGATGACGGTGAATTAGAAGATAAAGTGAAGAAGGGTGACTTATTTTAGAGGTAGTTTAGGTATTTTATTTTTAAAAGTTTACGATAACAACTAACAAGCAACTTATTTTGGGACGAAAAAAAAGGCAAACATGCAATTTAAATTGGGACAGATGGAGTAGTAAATAAGTCACACACTAAACTTGTAATAAAGAACATATTTCAGTAAATAAACTCGTGACCTTGGATCAAGGGTCTAAATTCTTGCTTCAGTAAATTCTTGACTATAACACAAGCCAACATTTCCATGATCGAAAAGGTCAAAAGAAATATTTGCACTAAATAGCACTAAAACTTAAGTCATTTTCTTAAATAGCATTTAAACTGTTTTATTCCTTAAATAGCACTTAATAATGTCCATAATGACCAGTGATTACGAATATTTACTTGAATAATGACTAATGCATAATGACTAAAAGAGCTACATTGGGAAGAAAAACACATGTGATGCTATTTAGAAAAACTCATTAAGTTTTAGTGCTATTTAAGTAAATTCCTCAGGTCAAAAATCATACTCGTATTAAAAAGAAAAACATACCTTACACCATGTTAGATTCTAAACCAAGGAAAGATCTTTATTCAAAATTGATTTGCATGTCTCTCAATCCCTCAAATTATAATTAAACCAAGTGAGCAGACTCCCAAGAGTTGCCCATTATATAAAACATAATACTGAACCTACCAAAATGATGCCAGTAAAGTTGTAAATATCATATTCTTTCCATTCTCAAAAACAATTCCCTTCTCAATTTTTTCACTTCCAACAAAACATTTAAATTTTTTATTAAAAAACTACTTTTACCCTTATAATTTAACTATAATTTAACACCTCCTTATTTTTACACTTGACCAAAATAAGAACTCTTTTTGAAAACAGAGAGAGTAGTACAAATAACTTCATACTTGTTTCTAAAATTAACAAGTAAATAAAATGAATACTTGACACTATAACTTTATAACAAAACATTTGTGAAAAAAACAAAGAATTGAAAAGTTAGACTATTTGAACAAATTAAAAAGCTAAGAGTAGATAAAAGAGTAAAAGAAAAGTCTACAAGTGATTTAAAAAAAGTATTGGGGCGCTTGGGTTAGTTAATGAACATTTTTATACTCTCTCCGAGAAAAGTCCAAGTGATTTAAGAAAAGTCTCATTTGACTTTTTACGGTCTACAAGATTGCACTTTGACCACTAATATATTTATTTATACATGGATATTTTTTATAAAAATTTGATATTTGAAAACTATATTTCAAAATAAATATATTCATATTAAATTTATATTATAATACAATGTATTTTTTCCACATATCATAGTCAAAGTTTACAAACTTTGACCAAGAAAAGTCAAATGGGAAGAATATTTCCGGACGGAGGGAGTATATATTTAAGTATATATTTAAAAAAACTAATCGGACCCATTAAATTATTGAGTCCGGGCCGGAAGGGAAACCATAAAGCTCGTTTTGGTGCAAAATGAAGGGAGACGGGGAGTATAAATTCTCCATAAATTGTAACCCTTGATAAATGTTCAGTTTAATTTTCTAAGTATAACACATTTACTAATTATGTATTTTCGACTTGCGGTTGCTGCATGATTCCAAGGATCAAATTAAAGATGAACTACGGTAACTCATTAAAGAACGTTACGTGTACCATGTACATATGTTTGTTCGGGAGTTATAAATAAGAGCGGAGAAGGAAAGGATTGATAGAACGAGAAAAATGACAATTTCCAAAGCACATTTTCTTTTAGGGTTGATCTTTACATGTTGCGCCTCAAAAACATTTGCAACATCTCCGGAGGGTAAAGTGGACACGTGCTCAAAACCGTATGTCCCTCCATCAAAAGAGTGTAGGAAAATCATAGTGTCAAATATGTTACGTTACGATGATGATTATTTTCCTCGAAAATATGAGCCGCTCACTTCTCAATGTTGCGTAGAGGCAAAAGCGCTAGGATATTTATGTTATAAAGACTGGATAGTTGCTGCGACTAAGATGTATGATAGCAGTGTCTTTTATGATTTTAGAGGTAACCAGTTTATGAATGACGTGTGGTATAAATGTGAATCCATGTAGTGTGATCTCCTTCGTAATTGCTTGTTCCAATAATATGATTTTGGAACACAATCTATCCCTATAATGTTTTATCTCACATTTTTAAATACTTTATACAATATTAGTAGAAACTTGTTAAAGAAATAAAATTCAGTTAGTACTATTAAAAATTAAATTATGCAATTCATGTTCTTTACATTTAGTAATCGCAGATTATTTAAATTTTGATTAATGTTAGAACTATAAAAAAACATTGTAAAAAAAAGTATTCCTATGATTTTTAAATTGCTAAAATATACTATTAGTCCTTCAACTTATTAAGTTAGGCACGATTGGTCTTCACGTTTCAAAAGTCCACGATTAGTTTTTCAAATATTCATCAATCTTCCATATGCAGTCTTTCAAGTTTCAAAAATCTATAAGTAGTCATTCAAATATTTATCAACCTTCTAAGTGCATGATACGAAGATGATACTCCCTCCGTCCCTAAATATTTGCAACGTTTGCTTTTTTAGCGTCACGAGAACTTTTATTTATTTCTACGTTTTCATTGGTTATTTGATAAAATAAAATATTCTTGACGAATCAAACATGATCACACATGACTATTTATTTTAGGCTTACACATTGATAGAATTTGATGAGTCAAAGTGTTTAGATAAACAGTTCCAAAAGTCAAAAGTGTATATTTAAAAATTATAAAAATTATATATTAATAATCTATATGTTAAGACGAATCAAACATGATCACACATGACTATTTATTTTAGCCTTACACATTGATAGAATTTGATAAGTCAAAGTGCTTAGATGAACAGTTCCAAAAGTCAAAAGTGGACAAACACTCAGGAACGGACTAAGTATATGTTATTATATATTTATATGTATGCTTGTTTTTAATTATTGGATCCGGCCGGCCTCTTCTTTTCATTGATTGATCTCTATTTTATTTAATTTAATTACATACTCCCTTCGCCGTCCCTTGAAAGTTTTTCCCGTTTTGACTTTTTTTTGTATGTGGTAGTGTGCTTGTCCGGGAACCGAGCATCTTATAACTTTGTCAAAGGCTATGGGGAAGGACTCACCAAGTGGCTCGTTTTTCGTCCGGTAATAATTAACATTATATATATATATATATATATATATATATATATATAGAGAGGTTCTGGTGAGAATGAATCTAGTGTTTTAGATTGTGAGATCTAAGGATCAAGATTTCATCAAAATTAGATGCACCAAAATGGTTCGAAAATGCATCACGTCGAAATGCACCATAAACCTTCGAAAATGCACTATCTCAAAATCTGAGCGCAGGATGCAATCTGAGCCATACGATGCATCAGATCTGACGGCTAGATTTTATTCCCATTTCTCTCCATAAGGTGCATTCTCACAGGAACCGGCCCATATATATATATATATATATATATATATATATATATATATATATATATATATATATATATTGTGTGTGTGTGTATTCGATCTTATGATTAATTATTGATATTATTAACGATCCAATTAAATACTCCATTCATCTCAAAAAGATTTACACCTTTCAAAAACATTGCGTCCCACAATCTCCTATTCATTTCTTTAAAAAATTACTTTTACCCCTTACTTTTTCATACCCTACCGATCACATCATACTTTTTTTCTTATAATATACACATCACATCCTACTTTTACCCATCACATCAAGGGTATTTTTGGAAAGTCAACACAAAATAATCTATCCCTTAATTTCAACTTTAGTCAAAACGTGTAAATCCTTTTGAGACAAAAGTAGTAGTATTTTTATATATAGTTGTTGTTGCTGTTGTACTTTAATAAATTCTCCGTACTCCGTAATATAATTACTACGGAGTACGTATTATTAATGTGGATGGATGGATTAGGGGGGTGGTTGGTGCGAGAACTTCACCTCTTGCTTGAACTACACCTCGGGTGGTCTTTCCAGATCTCCGGATCCTGATTACTCTGGTGGTATGTTGAGCAGCCGGAAACTGGAGAACCCCGGTTCGTATGTCATTAACTTATAAGTCATCGATTACAGCGCGGAGTACTACTATTTAGTTAATTAATTACTAATGATAGATGATGTGTACGTGTTTTTCATCAAGTCCAGATTTCTACAATTGGAACAGAGTTAAAATCAGATACTGCGACGGATCATCCTTCACCGGAAACTCCAGGAAATTCCATAATGTAATTAATTAATTAATTAATTAAGCACACATTAATTCACATGTGATTCAAAATTAAATCTCTCATGCATTATGTTTAATGAATTAATTTGCTCCATCCCTTTATGTTCGTTCAAATTGATGAAGGGCACATGGCTCCATTTTCGAGGTGCCATAATTTTCAAGGCTGCCATGAAAGAGCTGCTTCAACAAAAAGGAATGGCCTCTGCCACACAGGTCCCTTCCTAGCTCCCTCAAAATTGATTACAAATATCTCTCTCTTTCTTTCTTTCTTGATGATAGTAGTACTTCCTAATAACAACAACAACAATATTATTATTAATTAATAATTAATAATTAATAATTAACAATAATAAAATTAAGTTGGACTATTATTAATGGGAGTTGATAACTGCACTCCACCGTTTGGACGAAGGGCAATATTGTCAATGTTTGGAAACAAATTGAGAAATGGAGCGCCAATATAAAAAGGTGGATGGCTGTATGTATGTATATGTATATGTATGTACGTACGTACGTATGTGTGGTGTAGGCTGTTCTTGCTGGGGAGTCGGCTGGAGGCGTTGCGACGATGCTCCATTGTGATAAATTTTGACGTCTCTTCCCCAACTCGACTCGAGTCAAGTGCCTTAGTGATGCCGGTTATTTCTTCCCCGCGTACGTACATTTCTATTATATATTAAGTGTATTATTAGTCAATTAATTTCTCTACGAGCTGAGCTTGATTATATTGCATCATTAATTTTCTAAAACCGGTTAATAAATAAGATATCGTCACATTTGCTTGTTGTTTAATTAATTAATTTGGTTACTCAACGTACAACTACAGGAAGAGGCACAATTTTGGGAGCCAGAGTCGCTTTCTGTCCATCTTCCAAGGCTTAATTCGACTTCATGTATGTATCTAGCTACTACATTAAATATTCTTCTTCAATTATATACTCCTTCCGTCCCAAAAAGATTTACACGTTTCAAAAAAAATGCGTGCCACAATCCCTTACCCATTTCCATTAAAAAACCATTTTTACCCCTCATTTTTTCAAACCCTACCTATCACATCATACCTTTTTCCTAATAATCTACACATCACATCCTACTTTTACCCATCACATCAAGGGTATTTTTAGAAAGTCAACACAAAATTATCACTCCCTTAATTTCAACTTTAGTCAAAATGAGTAACACTTTATGGGACGGAGAGAGTATATTCCATCTATCTATCTCTAGCTAGCTAGCTAGCTAAATCTCTTTAATTTAATTTACTCCTACTTATTTTCATTATTCCTAATTCTTTTTCTTTGTAAATTAACCGCCCGATAATATAGTGTGATTAATAATGCATGCGACATTTATATATACATATAATTAACAGCGGTCGATCAAGGCGCTGCCAAGATCGTGCACCCAAAAACTAAACCCGGCGTTGGTACGTATGATTTGTTCATTTACTATTACTAATAACTATAACTATATATATTCACTCTTCCATGGATTTTAATAATTACCTAATGTTTATAATAATAATAATCTGGCCGGATATATATATATATATATATATATATATATATATATATATATATATATATATATATATATATATATATATATATATATATATATATATATATATATATATATATATATATATATATATATATATA